TACAGTATTTGTCTTTCTCCTTTTTTTTTTTTTTTGCGGTACGCGGGCCTCTCACTGTTGTGGCCTCTCCCGTTGCGGAGCACAGGCTCCGGACGCGCAGGCTCAGCGGCCATGGCTCACGGGCCCAGCCGCTCCGCGGCATGTGGGATCTTCCCGGACTGGGGCACGAACCTGTGTCCCATGCATTGGCAGGCGGACTCTCAATCACTGCGCCACAAGGGAAGCCCTGTCTTTCTCTTTATGACTTACTTTGAATAGTATGATAATCTCTAGGTCCATCCATGTTGCTGCAAATGACATTATTTCGTTCTTTTTTATGGCCGAGTAATATTCCGTTGTGTGTGTGTGTCTGTGTTTGTGTACCACGTCTTTATCCATCCGTCGATGGACATTTAGGTTGTTTCCATGTCTTGGCTATTGTAAATAGTGCTGCTATGAACATAGGGGTGCATGTATCTTTTTGAATTAGAGTTTTTTCCTGATACATGCCCAGGAGTGGGATTGCTGGATCATATGGTAACTCTATTTTTAGTTTCTTAAGGAACCACCACACTGTTTTCCATAGTGGCTGCACTAATTTACATTCCCACCAACAGTGTAGAAGGGTTCCCTTTTCTCCACACCCTTTCCAGCATTTATTATTTGTAGACTTTTTAATGATGGCCATTCTGACTGGTGTGAGGTGATACCTCATTGTAGTTTTGATTTGCATTTCTCTAATAATTAGTGACGTTGAGCATCTTTTCATGTGCCTGTTGGCCTCTGTATGTCTTCTTTGGAAAAATGTCTATTTAGGTGTTCTGCCCATTTTTTGATTGGGTTGTTTTTTTATTATTGAGCTGTTTGTATGTTTTGGGAATTAAGCCCTTGTCGGTCGCATCATTTGCAAATATTTTCTCCGAGTCCGTAGGTTGTCTTTTCATTTTGTTCATGGTTTCCTTTGCTGTGCAAAAGGTTATACGTTTGATTAGGTCCCATTTATTTATTTCTGCTTTTATATCTATTGCCTTGGGAGATGGACTTAAGAAACCATTGGTATGATTTATGTCAAAGAATGTTTTGCCTATGTTCTCTTGTAGGAGTTTTATGGTGTCATGTCTTATATTTAAATCTTTAACCCATTTTGAGTTTATTTTTGTGTATGGTGTGAGGGTGTGTTATAACTTCATTGATTTGCATGCAGCTGTCCAACCTTCCCAACACCACTTGCTGAAGAGACTGTCTTTCCTCCATTGTATATTCTTGCCTCCTTTGTCGGAGATTAATTAACCACAGGTGTGTGGATTTATTTCTGGGCTCTCTGTTTTGTTCCATTGATCCATATGTCTGTTTTTGTTTCAGTACCACTGTTGTTTTTTTTTTTGCGGTACGCAGGCCTCTCACTGTTGTGGCCTCTCCCGTTGCGGAGCACAGGCTCCGGACGCGCAGGCTTAGCAGCCATGGCTCACAGGCCCAGCCGCTCTGCGGCATGTGGGATCCTCCCAGACCGGGGCACGAACCCACGTCCCCTGCATCTGCAGGCGGACTCTCAACCACTGCACCACCAGGGAAGCCCAGTACCACTGTTTTGATTACTGTAGCTTTGTAGTATTGTCTAAAGTCTGGGAGGATTATGCCACCTGCTTTTTTGTTTTCTCTCAGGATTGCTTTGGCATTTATGGGTCTTTTATGGTTCTATATAAAATTTAGGATTATATTTTCCAGTTCTATGAAAAATGTCACGGGTAATTTGATAGGAATCCCATTAAATCTGTAGATTGCTTTGGGTGGTATGGCCATTTTAACAACATTAATTCTTCCACTCCAGGAGCATGGGATATCTTTCCACTTCTTTGAATCATCTTCAGTTTCCTTTATTAGTGTTTTCTAGTTTTCAGCATATAAGTCTTTCACCTCCTTGGTGAGGTTTATCCTGAAGCTTTCTTTTTTTTTTTTGGACATGATTTTAATAGGGATTGTTTACATTTCCTTTCTGATATTTCATTGTTAGTGTAAAGAAATGCAACCAATTTCTGTATGTTAATCTTATGTCCTGTTACCTTGCTGAATTCGTTGATCAGTTCTAGTAGTTTTTGTGTGGAGTCTTTAGGGTTTTCTATATATAGTATGTCATCTGCATAGAATGACAATTTTACCTCTTCCCTACCAATCTGAATACTTTTTTTTTTTTTTTTTTTTCCCCGGTATGCGGGCCTCTCACTGTTGTGGCCTCTCCTGTTGCGGAGCACAGGCTCCGGACACGCAGGCCCAGCGGCCATGGCTCACGGGCCCAGCCGCTCCGCGGCATGTGGGATCTTCCCGGACTGGGGCACGAACCCATGTCCCCTGCATCGGCAGGCAGACTCTCAACCACTGTGCCACCAGGGAAGCCCTGAATACCTTTTATTTATTTTTCTTGTCTTGGTTGCTGTGTGGCTTTCTTCTTTTTTCTACTTAATTGTGGAATATTTGTAATGTCCTTCATCCTTCCATAGGAACTGTAAAATTTAGGTAGCTGTGACCTTCAAAACACAACGCCAAAATTATCAGTAAGAGAGAAATCATGCATCAGTTGAAGATCAGGTCTTTGGACAACAAACACTTCATTGCCATTTATGTTACCATTGTGATGAAAAGGTGGAATTAGGAGACTGCAAGTGATGTAATAGACTTCTAGAAAGAGGCAGGCCCTGCTGCACATAATTATAAGCTTCCCTGGGCAGGCCAAGCTTCCAAATGGGCAATGAATGCAGAGACCCTGGACTCCTGGGCTGATTCTATGTACAGCATTTAAAGAGCCTGCTCGTAAAATGGTCACAAGTACGGTAGTTTTTAAGGGTACCAGCCTTCTGCCTTTCAGCTCTTAACCTGTGGTGGGTGGCAAAGGGGCAGGTTACTCTTTTGTCTCTGCAGCTGTATCTTGGAGGATACAGTCCACCACATGCCAGGTGAAACCGGATGGCAAAACTGTCAAGACCTTCCTGGGAGGGAAAGGGTTTCAGGCGTTTTTTTTGGGTTGGGTGGCCACCAGCGTGATCTCTCAAAAAGGCTCAGAATAAAACTAAAATGGGTGCTTTTAGGGGTTGCTGCCTGGGTCCCCATCAAAATTTGATTCTTGGAGAAGCTCACTCAATCCCTGAAGTTTGTCCAAAGAAGCCACAGGAATTATCAACACACCAGAATTTGTGCAAGATGGGGGTGCACTCAGGATGGTGGACAACCAAGGTTTGAGGGCTGGGACCAGGTATTCCAGAGTCTGTGAATAGAGCAATGTTTTGTACAAGGGAAGTGCTCAAGTGGTGTTCGTGCTGCTGAAAGAGCCATCTTCTAATCTGTCTCCAGCCCACCCTTACGGTCACCTCCTTCCAGGGGGCCCTCAGTCTGGAGAACTGACTCCTGCATCAGGTCCAGCTAATCCGGACGCGGGTGGCTTGCTCAGCCCACTTTAGGGACCTACATGCTCAAAACAGTTGTCAAAATTAACACTTCTCTAGAAAAGGTAAGGATTTTCTGCTTCTACAGCATCTATGAGGTCCAGGCAATGGACACCTGAATAGCCATATATGCCCATGTTGTGCCATTTGCTTTATATTGCTAGTCCTTCTAAGGCACGCATCTTAGTGTTTTAATGCCAGCCCCTGCCAATAAGCCCAGTCTGTACAGAATGGTTACCTCCCACCCTTACACTTTCTTACTGGCTTCCACAGATCTGGACCATGAACTACAGCACTCTCTCTGTGTATAACTGACCTCCAGTTGATTGTTTTTCAAGCTTCTCCTGGAAGAACGCATACACTGCTGTTTCTTAAAAGGATGCGTGGTCTTTGCTAGAGAAAGGAGTGACTAGAGAAGGAAGGGGAGGAAAGTGCCTTTAAGTTGTAATCAGCATTGATTAAAAAACGTTATTTGAGAAATACCCCAAAATTTGAAGTCCTGATCACCAACCAGCCTGGCCCATGTTCCTTAGAAATGGTACTTTGTACATGTTGCTGTTGGACTTTGAAATAGGTACAAGATAAAATAAGTGAAGGTTATTACTCTTAAATGGGAATGAAAAGCTGGAGCTCTAGTTTACAGGCTGAGTGTTTATGTACACTCATTTCCATTGATTTCCACTGTTGCTGGCTTGTAGCAAACTTTAAACTTCTTGTAGGCAAAGCCACCATTATTTAGGCACACTGCAAAGCTCGTCAGACTGTTGGAGACTTGTTGGTCACCAGTGGTTTCTATTGACAGTTACTCATGTGAATAGAAGTATCCCAAGTGTGGAAAGATAATCCCATTCAGGGTAAAATACATAACCAGTCATGATAGCTTCTCTTCTCATTATGTTCATCTTATTCCAGATACATATATGTAATCTGTTTGCTCTCTGTGAACTAGTTTTTGAACTAAATGTGCATATACAGAATTTGTGATAAATAGATGTATCAATAGCTAGTATGAATGGAAGGCCACTTTTAAGTTCTTAAACAATTTCTAAAATTTCCCAAATGTCCATAAGAATTTATCATCTATTAATTATTATGTTCTCCCTCAGTCACTGTAAGCCAGATCAGAGTATGTAGTCAGGAAGTTCGAAGGTGGCATTTGATCCCTTATGTGCAAACTCCAGAATCTAAACAAAATATGCAAAGACAAATTTATCAGCTTGTGACATACCAAGGGGGTTCATGAATATTCAGGGTTCCACACTACTATATAATGCTGCATTTCTTGGTTTTATTTGAAACAATGCATATTTTTAGCATTTTATGGTAGGATTTTACACTTGTCATTTACACAAATTACAAGGTTCTCTTCAAGTCTTTAAAAATTTTTTTAAAAAATTCAGCCCATGTGCAGCACAAGAATATGCAAAACTACTTTACATTATACACACTTTTTATCAAAGGAGATACAAAATTCTGGCTTGTAGTTTTAGACAAATACAAGAAGCTTCAAACTAGACACAAAGGGTTAACATTAATTCTCAAATGTAAGTCTGCACTTTGTGTTGTATTTCTCTGAGATGTGAATACCAAATTCCTAAGGGATTTTTACTTTTTCCTTTTTCAAAGGAAAAATGACAAGTTTCCCTTATTCAAGTCCCTCCCCATCAGCTCAGTCTATCATCCTACTCTCCCATCCCTTAGTGCCAGATACTTGCTTATATTAAAAAATCAGGGGTGGGCCATTTACATATGTCTGTGGACCAGATCCTTTTAGCTAACTCCTCTCTTGCAAAAATCTAAGCAGCCATAACTGATGGGAATGGTCTGCTACATTATGTTAAATATGACTTCACACTAGGTAATCTAGACAGATATGATGCTGGGTAATTAGTTAAAAGGAGATAATGAGAGACAGAAGGCCCTACCAGTGTGCTTTTTATTGGTGGCAAATTGGTGGCCTTTAAGAACCAAGCTGTCTGATTCTAAGAGAGCTTCAAAATCTAAACAGAACATGCCCACTGATTGCTTGAGGGACCTCTCTGATGCTTATGCATAGGTACTCTTTCAGCATGTCGGAGGCAATATTTTATACTTCTAAAGAGTTATGAAGAGGCAATAAGGAAGAGTAGAGCTCTCTGCCCTTTCAAAGATATTTTCTATCACTGGTATCCACTGTTCCCTAGCCATCATCCAATACTTAAATGTGTATGTATATGCATATTTTAAAAGAATTACCCATCTTTCACTCAGTCAGTATACAGCCAACTCTTGATTACCTATGAGAACATAAGTGACATTTACTACCAGAAAATTTCACATTTAACATAATCTTTTTTTTTTTGACACAGCTCACGTTCACTGTTTTACATCTCACGTAGACTACAGCCTGTCAAGACCAAGTTATCACACAAACGTTTATGCCCTCGAACCCATGATAGGTATGTGCAAGGACACTGAGCACATTCAGATAGGGCTTGGGGGAAGGGCATAAAGTGGAGAATGGGGGCAGGTGATAACTCTGGGCGTGAGAAAGGAGCAATCTCAAGTTCCTCCTGAATTAGCTCTTATGGTATGCCTTCATTATTTTAATTTTATGATTGATTACTGCAAAATCTAAAACCTGAGGCAGTCACTATTTTATATAGATAATGGAGAGTTGACTGTAATCATGTTCTTTGTTTCTTTATGACTTTAGCCCTTTTACATAAAAAATTTCACAAGAAAACATAATATAAAAAGATTAAAAAAGACTACCATATGACATCTAGAAGCATTTATTTTATGCAAAAAACTTAAATATGAATGTGCACACAAAAAGTGCACACATTACCTATGCTGAACAATGCCAAGAAACAATATATTGATGCAACAGTTGTTTTCTAAAATAAACATAAAAACGGAGCCCGGACTGGCAGACAAAAAGCAAAGCACTTATTTCCCAGTAGCACAATGCTGAAAACTGATAGCAATCCTAAACTCCTCCCACTTTCCTTACAAAGCTGCCAGAGTCCAACTATTTAAAAAAATTGACTTTTTTTTTTTACATCAATAATAAAAATCTGGTGACAGACATTATAAAACCAAATGCTGGACAGTCTTTACTCCTTTAAAATTCCAAATATTCCAACATAATCACAGGAGTAAAAACCACTTTAAAGTGATATGCTTTATGAAACAAAAAACAATATGTACATTTATTGCAAATTATATTAAACTAAAATGGAGGGGAAATCAAAATATGAAGTGATATGAAATCAATAATAATTTTAATTATTTTCTCACTCTGATAAAAATCAGAAAGCAACATTTATAAAATTGCCACCACATCACTTTTCATAGCAGGGAACTGAAATCTGTACATCTCATTTTGCAGAAAAGTAGGCAGGCAGAAAGAATTATACATAAAAGTTTCCAAAAGGAAAAACAAAGAAATATTTAATCTGATCTCTTTTCTTCTAAAAAAATTAATTCAGTAGACTTCTATTTTTTTCTTGTGTAACATGGGAAATTCCTGGCTCTAAAATTGATGAATTCTCACTGTCAGTGTAAGGACATCCTATTAATTTCTTTAAAATAAAGACTGCAGCATGGAAATTAATGGTGTATTATGCTGTTAAACTCCAGATATGCAGGAACTGGAACCAAGTGTTAAGCAATTTGCTTAATTATTGACTTTTCATAAGAAAAGTCTGGGGGGAGGGTAGAACAGAGTTGCTTTTAGCCTCTCTCTCAAGAGTTTCTGCTGTACATTTCCATCAAAGGACTTGTGGTCAAGTGAAAAAAGGAAGTAATAGCTTTTTTCAGTTTTCAAGGCAGAAAGTGTGTTTTGAAGTTAACTTCATTTTCTGTTCAGGGTCATTCTGAATCCAAGTTTTTGCAGAAGCTAGAGCCTGCTTCTGTTTGGCCTTCATTTTCTCCCTTTGCAAATGAATTTTCTTTTTACCTTGGGGATAGGAGTAGAAGAAAGCAATGTTAGAAAAGATATAAACAGGAAAACAAACCATACACAGATTATTTAATTTCTATAGTTATTATCTAAAATCTGAAAATATTTTTTCATTGTTCATGTGACACTTTAGTTGATTTAGTAATCTTTCCCTAAATTACATAAAAACACAATACCAATGAAGAAGTTTTTATTTTCAACCATTAAGCATTGCTACCCAGTGTCCAATCTGTTTTATTACTACAATAAAACACTAAAAGCTATTTGAAGTAATTGTGATTTTTAATGAATACTTTCAAAATTATGTAGTAGAAAAATTACTAGACAACTGGCAAATAAAAGCAGCAAAATAAGTTCTGTTCTTTAGTGTACTAAAAAAAGGAGGAAAATTTAGCTTAATTCTGTTAAGAGAAATACCCCACTGATCCTATTTCCCTAATAGGGAGGGAAAATTATGACCTCTGGAAGCATGAAGTAGTGGGATAGGGTCTCTTTCTCTTCTCCCCTCACCTACTCCTCTCTGGGAGGAGGAAGAACCCATCTAATGGGTGAGAGGGTGGGGGAAGGAAAAACTGAGCATACTGGAATTTGGTCTTGTCTAGATTTCTTCTCCTTTGCCTCCAAAAGGTGTGTTCTGGTCTGCCGGAGGTTGTTCAATTTAGGGGCAAGGCATTAGTAGTTACCTGGCCTATGTCATTTCAGATTTGGGTGGTGGGTGGGGGGGAGTGTGGCTTGTGGGATCTCAGTTCCCCACCAGGGATCGAACCCGAGCCAGGGCAGTGAAAGCCCAGAATACTAACCATTAGGCCACCAGGGAACTCCCTGTTATTCCACATTTTTAATCAGCCACATCAGTATTAAGATGGTATCTCCTTTTTAACAATTCCAAACTTGGGAGAGAAAGATAAGGGGGCTGTTTACTTATATTCCCAAACCCCAACATAACATATACCTTCTAATAAAGATAACAATGCTAACCAAAGAAAGCTAATAAGTGATTAAGATTCTTACATAGTATTAAATTAATTTGTTATAATAAAATTTAATAATATGATATCAAAGAATCCTCTACAAGCTGCCTGCTGCACCTTCAGGAAGCTTCCCTTTACTAGCTCTGAGTCCTCAGTATCTTCCTGGCTGCTCTCACAGACTTTTAAACGATCCAGATCACTGGAAGAATTTCCTGGACTTGATTCTATGTCCCAAAGTGAATCGCCATCACTTCCGAGCACTTGGCTTCTGAAAAATTTCATATTATTTTGATAAAAATTCACTTGTTACTGAAGAATATTCATATTAAACTAATACACGGTTGTTAATACATGAGGAAACACACTTAGGGGATACTTTAAGATACAAACCGATGTGATGTGAGGAAACTCTCAATATACAAATGAGCACAGGAAATCCTTTGCTTAAAAAAAGTAGAAATTCCAAGACTCTTGAACACTCCAATATTAAGCATACTAAGCAAAACATATTAATCCAAAGATGGGAAAACTATAGTCTGTTATCCTATAGGTAACTTCCTTAAATTCAGTTTCCCCTTAAGTCCCAAGTTTAAGGACTGTGTCTCCACTGGTGTTAATTGATATTTTCTTTTTCATGGAAGAATTTGGCCTCAAAGATAAAACATACTCAAGAATCAGCAGACCTATAAAAACACATTTTCAATGCAAAGTATTTGGAATTGTTTGCCATTTGAATAATAATTCAAAAACAAAAGAAAAACAAGTAAATAACTGAAATGATGATGAATCCTCCATTCCCAAACTCAGGAAGCCAACATTAAGTGTCCAGTTGTTCAGATACTATTTCCTGACTATAGTATACAAATGGCTGATTTTCATAAATTTACAGGGTAAATTCAAGGAATTTTCTGAAAAGAAGTAACAATTCCAAATGCAGCCCAAAATATAAACAGGAACATTTATTGGCACGCGCGCGCACACACACACACCCCTCTGATGGAATAGATTTACTGCAAAAATCCAGAGGGATCTAAAAATCCTACAGGTAAGTTTACAAGTTAAAATGTATGAACTCCCAGATTAAGTAAATTCTATGCCAGGAAATTTCTGTACAGTTTTTGTATTTTGGTGGAGTAACATATCTATCCTTGAATTAATAAAGTATATAAGTAGGAGTCATACTAAAAATTATTATTTACCTAATGTCAGTGAGAGGACCTAGTAAGAGGAATTCTAGAGGGGTTACACATAAGTGATTGCTATGGTATTTAAATGACTGTAGAGGCTACCATTTATCAAGGGTCCTACTTTTACAGGGCTGAAGGATTAGTGAGGTTACAAACATAAAGCATCTAGACTGTGGTTGGAATATACTAGGGCCTCAAAAATGGTTTTCATTAATTATTTAATAATAAAGTTGAAATCATACAATATGATAAGTATAAATACCAAGTAATAAAAATGGGCGTTTTCTGGAGGTGGTCCTAGTATACAGTGTAGACTGACCGCCTCGAGATCATCTTGTATTCAGACAGATCTACAAAGGAGCACATGGAGTAAAGAAGGGAGCGTAATGTCAGGAAAGGCTCTTTTCAGATGTTAATGTAGGGACAGTTGTGACCAGCGCAGGAACTGACCATCAGGGAAGTGAGAAAGCAAGCAAGTAAAATGTGTGAAGAATAATGCAAGGTAAAGGAAAAGACAGATGAAATAGTGTTAGAAAGCAGGGCCACAGAGAAGCACAAGGGTGCTGGGCCTTATTTCTCAAAGGCTTGCATTCAAGCTTAAAATCCGGGGGTAAACTACTTTAGTGCAGTGATCCAGATCCAGATCTGGTTCCAAAATGCAAGGACTCTAGGCTATGCTTCAAGTTGCCAGGGCAGTAAGTGAGCTGTTCCTACCATTCTGGGTTCATCCTTAGCTCAGAAATGTGGTGCTTGGCTCTCAGCTTTGGCAACCCTATTTCTTCTTTTACTAATGAGATGGTTCAAAGTGTAATGATAACCTTAACAGGATGATTCAAGGTGTTATATAAGCTCTGTATTCAGAATTGTTCAATCATGTGTCTTTAACCTGTATCTGATCCTCACCAGGTCTCAGGAAAATACAGGTGAGATGTCAAATCAATCATAGGTAATACCTTTGGTTAATCAAAAGTATGTTTAGAATCTTGTATGAAGGTGAAAGCTATAGTTTCCCATGAAATAAAAATAAAGCTGGCACCTTCAGGATTTTGACCATTCAACGTTTTCTCCTCAAGCTGAAGGATAGTTAGAACGGCTGAGTCACAAACAAGGAAGTTTTGTTTTAGTGTGCCTGTCTATTCCATCGCTTGGTGGTTACTATACCTTAAAACATTTCCTTTTACACATTAAGAGAAAAAGAAAATAATAGAGTTGTGAACGTTCATAGTTTAAAGGAGAAACATAACCGCAGCTGCCACTGTTAGCAGTACAGTAAGGCGATTAATAAGGGACACAGCCTGGATTCAAAACCCTGTTCTGTGTAGCACTGGCCAGGTGGCCTGAGAAAGTAATTTTTTTAGGTCTAACCCCCTTATCTCTAACATAGGGTTGTACTTGCTTCATAATGATTGTTGGCAAGGCAAATATACATTCAACAACCTTTCCTTATTATCACTATTATTTCTACCAATATATATGCCAAGCACCATTGCAAATACCCCATACATTATTCTACCTAATATTCACTACGGTCTTTCAATGTTCTTATAGCATTAGGGGCTTCACTTAAGTTTGCCACTTGAATTCAAGAACATCTGATCTCTCTTTGTTTTTTCCCTCTCTGAAGCTAAAATACTTTAGCTTTTGTTTGCATGAACTCTGAAATAGGTTCAAAAGATGACTATAGTTGTGTGGTTTAACCTACGATTATTTTAAATAAACCAGCTTCTTATGTAGTAATTATAAATAATAAACTATATGCAAAGATTTTCCATTTCATGGAAACTACCACATATATTAACTACATTAGCTATTTAAAATATGGAAGTAAATATATTTTCAAAGCATCCTCTGTTAAACTAGTTTTGTGTGCAGGTATAGTTCCTGTAGAATTAAGACTTAATTTTACCTTAAAGTACAATATAGTGTGGACTCCAGAGTGATGCTGCCTGGTTTTAATGCTGCCTCCACTATGTATATAAGCAAAGGGACCAAAAGCTACATGGACTCTCTATTCCTGGTTCTCTCCTCTTTATAAACTGGGGATAATGATAGTACTTACCCATGTAGAGATGTTTTAAGCATTTAATAGGTTAACAAAGAGCTTAGAATTGAGCCTGGCTCATAATAAGCATTATATTAGTGTTAGCTATTATTCATCTTATGTAGCAATTTTTTAAGTGAAATAAAATATATGTAACATAAATCACTGCCATTCATCTCTAGAATATTTTCATCTTCCAACTGAAACTCTGTACCCATTAAATAGTAATGCCTATTCTCTCCTCCCGCTCTCCCTGGCAACTACCTCATTCTGTCTGTATGAATTTGACTACTCTCGTATCTCACAGAAGTGGAGTCATACAGTATTTGCCCTTTGGGGTCTGGCTTATTTCACTTAGCATAATGTCCTTAAGGCCCATCCATATTGTGGCATAAGTCAGAATTTCATTGTTTTACATAGTAATAATAAAATAATTCTTATACTTTTATCAATCAGTAGACTTAAAGTGAAAGTTTTCTGCTCTATTCTGGAATTGACAAGCTGGAGAAATATATTCTTTGAGGGCGAGAACCTATCCATTTTGGATACTTTTGTACTGCCAACATCCAGCGTAATGCTGGCAGTTTAATCTGTCTGTATTTGTTAGAAGAACAAATGAGAAGTATAAGGAACAATACTCATGTGCCTATAATACATTCAGTCCTATGCAAGAGGCTATCATGAGTAATACAGAGTTTCGGGAGTAAGTTAGGTTTCCAAGCCGAAGTCATAATGGTAGAATTTAAGGGCAGAGTTGTATATTAGATTCAGGAAAGAATGGAAAAGACAAAAGGAAGCTTGGGAGAAAGTTTCAGAATGTCCTTCTATGTTTTGTTAGCCACGAATTAGTAGTCAATAATTCAACCAGAAGTTTCTGAAATATGTGCGCAAAGTCTTTGATCTGTTTTACTGAAGTACAGTGTTATCATGAACACCAAATTTAACCATCTAACTTCACTGAGAATATAAAACCATCAAAGAATTCTATATTTTGGATAACACATTGCCCAACTGATCTACTAAATGGCATACTTAAGACTTCTAAGGTGTCTTTTCACTCTTGAAAAAGATGTTTTAAGAGTTTTAAAAAGGCCCAAGGCCATTTTTAATCAACACCAGTCTCTGGCATGTAAGCCATTTTTGTTGGTTTGTTTAATGCTTTGGGGGCAAATGGTGTAACTAAAAGCAGAGCAATGGGTTTTACAATGCTCAATTTCAGAGACAAGGTTGGTTGCTACTGAAAACGTTTTCAGGGTCCAAGTGAGTGCCTGCATATTTTGGTTAGATGTCAAAAGGACAGCACATGAGAGGTAAGGTCAGGTGGCTCAGGTGGCCTGGGTGTGATGATCAGTACTATTTTATGTGGGTGAGGAATGGCTAGAATTCTAGAAACCCTTAAGAGAAGTCTGGCAATCTCCAACGAAATTTGTTCAGCTTTTGTATAACTAAAAATATAGTAAGAGGTAAAGCAACTAGAATTCAAAACAATGGTTAAAATAATTACTGAGCATTTAGTCTGTACAAGGCATTTTGTTAAGTGCTTTATATTTAATGACCATTTAATTCTTGGAACAGTCCTTTGAGGAAGGTATTATTATACTGCCTTAATGATGAAGAAAAGGAGGCCGAGGTTAAGTATGTTGTTCCAGGTCAAAGGTCCAGGTTTGAGGAGAAAAATAATAAATTTGCCCCCAATACTGGCTTTCCTTACTACACTTTTAGTCCATAAAAGTAGAAGTGACTAAGTAGAAGAAACACCCATTACTTAGTCAGGTTTGGGCCTGGATCAGCTGCCATGAGATGTTGAAAAAGGTACTCAGAGACACTTAAAATGTAAGAAAATTTAGTAGCCTCAAACCTCCAAATTTCAAAAATGGTAATTTTAAAAAATGTACTTACAAACACGTATGCCTTAGCAACACTGTACTTTATAAAAATATTGAAGCAGGATGGTGAGGGTGTCCTGACATGATCAGAGCTGGTTCTTTCCTAGAAGGAACTCAGAATCTTACAATCTAATTCAGGGGGGAGATGAATTAGGTATAGGTATATAAGGAAAAAGAAGCAGTGTAGAGCTAAGTTCTAATTGTAGACCAAGTAAGGAGCCAACTTCTAGATCTCATTGGGGCACCACTGTTACAGTGTGGAAAATCTGAAATCCCAACACAACATGATCAAAGATGAGTAGCTGTGAGGGAGGGTGGGGGAGAGGTAAGTTGCTGACTTATATTAAAATTTACTGTAACAAGTGGAAATAAAGAGCATGCCATGACATCTATCTATTCCACTCTGGGATCTCTGTATCAAAAAGGTAGCCGTTTATATTTAGAAAACCCCATGCAACTATGTGAGGGACACCAAGACAATGTTATCCTTGCTAATAAATAGAAACATCAAAAACCATATCCTAATTAAAAATTAACCAAAGAAAAAAGGAGATCTTTCTTCAAATTGTTGTCCTGAAAGTTATGAGATAAAAGCAAATGCCACCATAACTTACTCAGGAAAACCAGGGGCAGTTTTCACTCCCAAATGCCTAGGTGTTTGGGGGTGACTGGCAACTAAGATTAAAACCAGATGTCTAAATTCAAAGTTCAGAAAGAACGGTGTACGTTACCTTTGTAAGTCAATTTGTCTCTCTGCTGGTGCTGCCTTTTTGGCTATGTCTTGCAGTTTGGGTGCTTTGGCATTACCTGCTTCCAAACCTCCAGGGCTTTCCTGATTGACTGCGGCTCTCTTTCTTCCCTTGCTAAGAGGTTTATTTATATCATCATTTCTGGTTGCATTGCCCTGAGATTCAGACTTGGGTCGACGTCCTCTCCTGGGTTTTGAAGGGGCAGGTGGTCCTGATTCATCTACTTTCTCATCTGTTTTTTGTTGGATATTCTCTGCACCAGCTGCTGTTACTGTTCTTTTCTTTCCTCGGTCACTGCTGATGTTGCCCTGGGCAGCCTGATCAGAATTAATCTCCTAAAAGAGCAGAAAACAATTATATGAACATAAATTCCTTAAATATCACTGATCTATACTACAAAGAAGCATTCTGCAAGTATTTTAAAAGAGTTGGAATTCCAGGGCTTCTGATTAACTGCTTACATCCCATGAAGAATGTAAACTCCTCAAGGATAAGGACTGAATGAGGTGCCTACCATAGTGCTTGGCATATATAATATACTCAATAAATGCTTACTAAAGTGCATAGGCAGTTATATAAGAGAAAACCTACTCAGTTTTGCTTTCACAGCCATTTTAAATGACAAGGTCCTTTTTATTGTGGTATGCTCTTAATGTATCACTTTTCAAAAGAGGGGGGAATGTTTTCATAATTCAATGTTATTTTCTTTCTCTATGATGCATCTGACTATAATAATCTTTGTAGTTCTGTGACACAAAGTTCTTTAATATCTCACTCCACTCATTCATTCTAACTTTTGTCTCTTCTTTATCAATCATTAACCTTCTACTTTTTTCTGAGCATTCTCTTTTTTCCTCTGTTTGGCATATATATTACATATTGTCATCTAAAATGTTCAAAGTAATAAAATTCCATTTTAATATGAGACATAATGGACATTAGGAGGAATAATAATTTTCAGAATGAAAGTGACCTTTATATGTATGATATTTAGGAGTCAATTATAATAATTTTAACTGATTCAAGGGAAACAAAGGAACACTATCCTCACCAAAAAAGTGACTTTATCTTTTCAATTAAATAATTAATTTTCATTTCCCCAAAAAATGTTTTCAATGACCAGGGAAACACATAAATCTTTCATGTTTCAAGAAAATTTACTTAAATGAAAACTCGTGAAAGTAGTATCTTAAGTTAGAAAATCCACAAATCAGTGTTTCACGTTGAGGATTAACATTAAAGTAAACCCTATCTTAAGAGACAGTATCAGAGCCTTTAACATGGGCAGCTAGACTTAAATCCATCCTTCCAGGATGATGAGTTAATGACTCCTACTTCTTTCACCCTCTTGGGATGTGGAGAGTCGTGTTACAAAAATCATCAAAAGGGAACAAGAGTAAGGTGGGCCACAGGATTTAAACTGTAAAACAATACAAAATGGATCAGAGAAAAGATATGCGAAGGCACCCTGGAGAAAGATGGAGATTCCTGGGCAAAATAAGAAGGGTCAATAAAAACTAAGTGTGGTTAAACTTGAAGTAGAAACCATTCAACTGAATGCCTGTTAGGTGCAGTGGCTGCTGGGCATAGATTGGGGAACAAAACTCTTATTTTTCCTGTCCTCAAACAGATTAGCATAGTAGGTGACTAATTTTTTAAAGAGTAAACAAACATTTAAGTACAGATTACCCTAAATGCTAAGAGATTAAAGAAAAGGGCATTCAGGAAAAAAAAAAAAAACAGGAAGCATCAATTTCTCATTGGTTCTTCTGGGGAATATTAATTAAATAATATCAAAGCAGGACTTATCACATGAAAAGTGAAGTATTTTAGACAGATGGAAGAGGCAGCATGAAGTACCTGAAGAAGGAAAGAGCTTGGAAGATTGAAGGAACTTGAAGTGATGTGAGACTGGTATAAGGTAGGAGAAGCAGGCATGGGCCAGATCATGAATGCCTTATGGGACATGTAAGAAATCTGATTTTATTCTAAGTGGTGATAAAAGTCATTGATGGACTTTAAACAGAGGACAAACATAATCCAGATTATATTTTAAAAAGATCACACTGGCTGCTATATTTGGTGATGAGATTGGAAGGGAGCAAGAATGTTAACAAGAAGGTAGAACTACTACAGTATCAGACGTTGAGTTAGGGAGTTCCCTGGTGGCCTAGTGGTTAGGATTCCAGGCTTTCACTACCATGGCCTGGGTTCAATCCCTGGTTGGCGAATTTCCTGCAAGGCGCATGGCATGGCCAAAAAAAAAAAAAGTTGAGTTAAACAAGAAAAAGATAATTTAAAAACGGGCAAATATGAACAGGCAGTTCACACAAGAGTACATCCAAACGGTCAACAAAAATACTGATCATCAGAGAAATATAAATTAAAACAATAGTGGGGCATTAGTTTTGATACTTTAAACTGAAAAAAATTCAAAAGAACTATAAACCTGTTGTTAGTGGGTATACAGAGAAAAAGTACCCTGCTGGTAGAAATGTCAAGTGTTCTAATTTTCGAAGAAAACAATATGAAAATATCTAAAATCTCTAGTATATTTACTCCTTGACCTGGCATTCCCACTACTAGAACTTATTAGCCCCTAGAAATAAAATCACCAGTAAATTTAATGCAACATTGTAGTGACAAAGAACAGGGAAAGGAAGTATTTATGTGTATACAAACATGAAAATGATAACACTGTAGAGAAAAAATGGAACACACAGATAAGGCTGTTTAAAAGGGGAAAAAAAGACGATTAAATGTCATGCACATGATCATATTTACACATTTATGAACATTACATTTATGTGCATATGTATAAAGAACTCATGCAAAAGCCAAATGAAGAGGAAATCAGTTGTCAGCTGTAGGCATGAAGAAATAGAAGACTCTAAAGGGCAACACTGGTGGTATTGCCTGCCTGCTCCACAGAATGTTAATGTGTTATTTCTTCTTTTAACCACCTCCCTTATTCATTCTTCATATTACCATTTGATTTTGCTCACAGAGTAAATAATAGGAGAAAATGTTCTGATTTGTAAACATGGATATACAATTTGCTGGATAATTTTTATATACATAACTAATAAATTGGTCTATGCATCAATCTCTTTGAGAAATTGGTTACCAAGAAACACTCTCTTAGATCTTTATCTTCTTTCAGTACAACAAGGTAGTGTTTTGAGCCTGCAAGACTGAGAACCAGACCCTGGAAAGAAATGACCGTATCAACTTCTGGGAGATCTGACTGGGAAGCTATCAGGCTTTTGTCAAAATACAACCCCAGTCTCTTCAGGCAACAGTGAATCTGTTAAACATTCTTTGGAAGTATGAAAAAGTTAAAACAGTGTTTGGAACAATATAATATTACAGATCAATCAAAGTAATATTTTGGCCCCTCAGAAATTAGAATTTAAATGTCCAATTTATCTTCTATACAATTCTACAGCAGAGGTTGAAAAGGTTATAGATAGATGTTTGTACTAGATAAATATTTGCATCCCTGTACCACCTCTTAATACATATTATAAGCATGTTTATGTATCTGTGGCAATATGCATATCTGCATCTAAGCATGATTATGTTCAATGTTTAATTCTATAGAAGGATCCCACAATATCTAAATCTACTGGTTTCTGAATTCTAAGAGTTTTGAAAGTGAGAGGTTCCCTGTTACCTGAGTTTACTGACATAATGAAGTTCAGATAGCAAACAGCAAGAGTATGGATAGTCAGAGACTGACCTAAAAAATGTATCCTTACCTATTTAGTTTGAATTCAGATGATAATTTTGGATAGGAAAAGTTCGGCTACTGTGGAATAACTGTATAGTCCCATATTTTATGTACCTGAGGATAACTCCTAAAACATTTGATAATACATAAATATACGGGGGGTAAAAAAAAAGTATGTCAAGAACATGATTCTATAGAAAAAGAAATAATAGTATTAGGTCATTCTTACTGAGGCAAGTTATCCTCCTACCAATGTTATACTCCTTTCTGTCCTGCCAAAAAATTAAGAATATTATTATTAAAAGTATTAAAAGTATTAAAAGATACACCATCAAAGAATGCAGCTGTTAAATAAAAAACATATTTTAAAAGGTCAGCTCATTAAGTTTAACTTAAAACGACAACAGAAACAGTGTTGATCCCTGGTGGGAGTCAATGAAGTTTTGAAAACAAGGTCTCAAAACACTTCAGTTCCTATTCTTTCAAGGTATTGGGAGAAGGTGACCACACAAACTCTGGTAAATGAAGACAGTGGACAAAGAATCACTTCTGTAGAGTGGAAGCCCAGTAAGTATAGCAGGGGGTGGTATACACACAGGTATAGTATATAGTATATATTAATGTGTAGACTGTGGGTTTCTTACCCCATCATAAAATTGTAGTAAGAATCTCCATGGGAAAAACCCACTTGTTAAATTTTAAAATTTACCTTATTCTTTACTGGGTCAATATTCTTTACAGGTGTCACAGAAATAATTCTCACAGGGTTCTCTTCATTTTCACTAACTCCAGTTTCTGCTGCCTCTGAACTCTGTTCCCTGTTGAAGAGAAATAAACCAAAGCTTCTTTATTTCACCATATGAATAGGAAGTGTACTCTCTCACTATACCAATAAGGAAAGAGGCTTAGGCTGATTTAGAAGCCTGGCCAAGTGAAGTAACGTTAACAAGACTCAGATCTTCTGTGGTTACAGACTACTGCTCTACTATATCAAGTTTTGGATTTCCATCTTACCTTACTAATGTAAGACAGAAATGACTGCCTAAAACCACCAGATAGAAAGCGTAGTTGACAAGGAACAAACAACACAACTATTCTATAAGCCTATCTGTTGGGGGGTGGAAAACCCTAAAACAAAGCAAAAATACAACAGATGAGCGTATAGTTTTCTCCAGTCTGTGTTCTTAATGCTCTGCAAGGGAAGGGGCTGCAAGAAGAGGCCACAGGGGAAGTGTCTGACCCCCACCATCTATGTAAACCACAGATGTTCCATGTTAATTTTTTAATATTTTGGGATTCTACTGCTAAAAATGTGTTTAAAACACCACCACTGAATTTATGCTTAAAATTTCATGAATTAGAATAAAATCTTTAAAAGCCTCAATATTTAGTGTTGGTAAGAGTAGGGTCAGATGGAAATTTTTATGCAGTAGCTAAGACAGTAAACACTTGACATGTTAAACATGGAATCTTTTAAATAAATATTTATTTGGTTGTGTCAGGTCTTAGTTGTTGGCATGCAAACTCTTAGTTGCAGCATGTGGGATCTAGTTCCCTGACAAGGGATCGAACCTGGGCCCCCTGCATTGGGAGCACAGTCTTAGCCACCGGACCACCAGGGAAGTCCCAAACATGGAATCTTTAATAAGTGGAAAATGTTATTAACAATGTTATCTCTACTCATGCTATACTAATTTTGAGTTAAAAATTAAAAAGCATATAAATTAAATTTATTTAAAGAGTTACATTTTCAGTTCTCCTAAGTGTTAAATTTAAACACAGACACACACTTCCATGTAAATTAGTTTTAGTATATTACTAATTCTTATGTTTTTCCATTTAACTTTTCTACACATTTAGAATGCTAAACAGTTTCAACATGTGTACTACACTCTCAATTTCCATCATTAATTATACTAAAATTTAGCACTACTGTTTTTCACTAAGATGTTTCCTAAAGTCCATTTTTGTGATACAGTGCTTTAAGAAAAGAAACTGAAAGATGAACCAAGTAGTGAGTGATAGTAACAAAAACAATTGGAGAAAAAAATTGCCTTGATCGATTTCCGGTGGAAGGGTTCAGCTCTGAATTTACATTAATATTGCTTCCAGTCTCAGCTCCAGTGCTTCTAACATATGGTTTCCTTCCCGTTGCTGATAAAGGCTTGTTTACCGCACCTAGTACTCCAGCAGGTTTTGGCTAAAAATTACATATACGCATGTTATTTTATACCTTACTGAAAGGAATACGTACAAATTTAGACACATGTAAGGGATACTGTTTCGCTTACAGCCAGGAATTGTTGTTGCTTTGGAAAGTTAAATCCTAAATTTATTAGAAATGATAATTCTGTAAAACTATATCTAAACATAATTACAAATCAAAAGCATTACCTCTACTTAAAAATAACTATGCAATATTTAATTATTCCTGTTGCTCAATCAAAACAAAGTGTCCCTAAAACAGTGAAATACATAATAATTAAGACACAATAAAATGTCTTACAGGTAAACTACTGAGTATATATAGTAATAGTTTAGACACTGTTTATCAAATACTAAATTTTCCTTTGCTCTTTTAGATGTCATATTACCTTTATAGAATATAAACTGTCTAACTTATTAGTACTTTAAAATTATCTTTATCTTACACATCTAAATTTATTATATCATTTTTCAGGGAAATCTGCTTTGTGAATTCTAAATAACTTGAAGCCTATCAGTACTGGTGAGAACACATGGTTGTAATTCTAAAGTGGTTCATGACAAAAAAAAAAAAGCCTGAGAGAACAAATGCTTTAGATGCTATAATCCACAACATGATCCCTAAGAATCAGGAACTATAAAATCTGAGGGACAGTTAAAGGTTATTTCTAAGAATAGCAGAAGTAATATGCACATGAGATAAAGATCCCCCAATTATCTAGTACATAATACCTTTCCTGTTAACAGAAGTACTCTTGTCTCTTCTGAAATATAACTCTTGTCATTACAGAAGTCCTATCAAAAAAACAAACAAAAAAAAGTAAACATATTTTTATTGTCCATACAAGACTTCAAGGCATTCTGCTTTACCATAACAGTTTCATTTGCGCTAAGAAACATATCAAACCATCAAAGCATATTTCATGAACCATACCATAAGTCTAGTTTTAAAATTAACTCAGTGACACACAAGACTTAGTCAAATGTCAGATATAAATTACTTAAATCACATTTTTTTTTGGCAGTGCTACGTGGCTTGCAGGAGCCTAGTTCCCTGACCAGGAATTGAATCCAGGCCATAGTTGGTGAAAGCACGGAGTCCTAACCACTGGAATGCCAGGGAATTCCCTTAAATCACATTTTAAATAAAACACATTTCTATTCTTTCATATGGTTCAGGGCAAACAGTCTCCAGTTTATTCAATGAACTATGTTCTCCACTCTATTATAAAATTTACTTTTTAAAAAAATTTATTTGGCCACACCACGTGGCACACGCGATCTTAGTTCCCCGACCAGGGACTGAAGCCACGCCTCCTGCAGTGGAAGCACAGAGTCTTAAGCTCTGGACTGCCAGAGAAGTCCCTAAAATTTACTTCTTTGGGGCTCCCAAAGCATCCAAAATGGTACTATGCATATATCAGGCACTTAATATTCACTAAAAGAACCCCACACAGAATCTCAAGAAAATTATCCTTACTGAAAAAAAATCTGTTACTTTAATTAAAAATGTTTTGTTTCCTAGAACCATAAGTAGACTGTCCAAATCATAAAGGTAAATACACCATCAAAATCTAATTAAGTCAATTGTAATGTTCTTTGGCTGCAGTGATATTAACTAGTTAATAAATGAATTAAACCAAATGTGGACACTGATGATACTTCTGAAAGTTACATCTGTATAAGAGTTCAATTTGATCCTATGGTGCCTCTATCTGTTAATTATCCTGGGAATAGCACACGAGTAAACCACAATGGTCTCACGGAAGCAAAATGACTTACTGCTGTCTGGAAGTTCATTAATTTGTAAGTAATCGCACTTAAAAAATTATTTTTCTTTTATTAAGTTTACCTTCACACTAGTGTCACAGAAAAGAACAGAAGGCTTAAATGTGCCTATAAAAAGAAATAACACTTTTGGCATGTATTCTAGGCAAGGCTGTATCTTTCTTTTCTTCCCCACAAAGGCTTTTATGTAGCTAAAAATATTGTTACATGAAGATATACTATAGCTTCACTAAGCTATCTTAATATGCCTAGTTTTCTCCTGTCTGAATTTATACCATATTAAAAGCAACATATTAGAAAAGGCAATGAGGAAAGCTGATCATTTAAAACAGAAAAAAAACAAAATTATTATTAAGAAGGCTAAAGACATTCTAAGTTTCAATATCAAAACAAAAAACAATTAGAATCAGGTGTAGTGACAAACAGCAATTTAAATTCTTGATGATGTATGAAGATTCTATTTGGGTACTATTCCAGTCACGATAGCCCTGGGTCAACAATAAAGTAAATTTAAATTCAGGAGCTCACTCAGGAGTGTTTATAAAGACCAGTAAATTCAATTAGAACAGAAGTAACTTTGCAATCCTTATTATTCCTATCAAAACCAGGCAGAGTAAATTCTGAGTACTAAATCAAAGTCTGATTAAAATGTTTGTTGAAAATTTTAAATGCCTTATTTTTTCCAATTAAAAATATTAAGGATATTTTTTTAAACAAAGCACAGGAAAGTTAAACTTTAAAATACCACCTTAAAGTGGGTAATAAATAAAAGGCATTCTTTTTGAAAAAGTTTCTTAATCCAAATTAGCTGGAAAAACTTAAAGAGCTTTAGTTAGCTGAAAAATTTACTTACATGGAAAACTTCATTTGCTGACAGCAGAATAAATGTACTATTTATTATTAATACCATTTATTAAATGCTTACTTTGTGACAAACTCTTAGAAACCTAGGTATATTAGTAATTGTTCACAGGTATTATGATCATCTGCATTTTAGAGATGAAGACATTGAGGCTTAGAAGAGTTAACATGTGTAAGGTCCCTCAAATTAGAAATGGTTGATTCGAATCCAGGTCTGTCAATTGCCAAGACCAATTCCATTCATTCTAACATTTTATTTCATATATAGATGTATATATATTTATACTCTACCAAATATTTTGTTTACTTCTTGTCTGAAAAAATACTAACAGTGTTTTAATGAGATGAAAACAATTTAAGAAATTTGAAAATTCCTCTTACATATTAGAAATATCCAGAAGGAATAGCTCACATAGGAACACCACCACCAAGCTTGATTTGTATTCTCTACTCTGTAAGGTGAGAATGATATTTTTCAGGCTTTGGAAGACAATCTCCCATTTCTTGATAAACTCACAGAGGTATTTTTTTTTTTTTTACTCTGTAGTCAAGACAATCCAATACTTGCCACTAGGGTTGATGGTAACAAATTTAAATAGGTTTAGTATGGTAGAAAAATGAAGGGAAGAAATTACCTTTTCAGGTTGTGTAAAAAATTTCATCGGAAGGACTGGATCCTTTGGTGAATCTGCATTGCATAAAGCACTTTTACTATTTATAACACACAGGGCCACATCACACACTGTATAAAGTTTCTAGGGAGGAAAAAAAAAATCACATATACCTTTCAGTAGTGAAAAATAACCACAAGTACCAATTCTAACCAATATATAAAATCGAATCAAAACAATAATATGGGGTTATTATTTATTCCTTGAACATTCTGCATTTGTATTTGGCATTTCTTTTTATGTAGCCTCCTAGTAAACAACAACAAAAAAGACCCCTTCATCTTAATTTAACATGAATGCCAAGTATGTGTTAAAAACAATAAACCAAACTAAAGGAAACATACAAAAAGAATATCTACTTGTCTGTAACTCTTACTAAAAGTTCTTGAGACAGCATAGTTGTAAATTTTACTAGTTCTTATTCCTGTGCTCTGTAGAAGTTTTAATATCTTTTTCAAAGTAATAAATGTTCTTCAAATAATAGAATTCAATTTAATGAAATAAAGTAAAAACTAAGTATGTATTTTTAATAAATGTTCTGTAATCTATTTTATTATGTAATAGGAAAAACAAGTGGGACAAGGGTCATAATATTTTTTCCTGTAATATCTTAATACCCACTGGCCTAATATATATCTTACTTCATTTGTCTTGGATTCATCTGGAGACTGGGCATCTTTTGTTAGCTTGATGTTCTCTGCCATCTTTTTCATAAAGGCATGGCTGTTATTTTCATTCTTTGTCATTAAAACTTCAAGCATGAACCACAGGCACCTAAATGACAAACATATTCATTTAGTAAAGAGACTGATTGTAGGTGCTTTTGCTTAAGGGATTTAATAGCTTACTGGGAAGTTCTGTTGTCTGAATATAAAAGAGTATAATACAGAGAAAACTCTAATGATTAATAGAAATATCCTGTTAATAATATTCAATTCAAATAGAATCATATCACAAATAACAAATATGAACATATAGCTTAATATGAGAAAGTCTGACAGTTTCATGAGGCAAAGATTCATTCTATAGGTATTTAATAAACATTTAGATGATATAACGTGTATTAATATCCAGCAATGATAAGCGAACCAGCATACAGCACAGTCTTGCCATTTTGACTATTTGCAAGGTATGCAGAAGATCTAAGATTTGTATGTAATTCTACTGTGACATAACTGAATTTCACATGCTATGAGGCTGGTGTGCATAGTAACCAGTAATTCAGCTAAACAGTCACATCTCAAACCATTTTTGCTGTTTTCTTCTTGTTACTTTATATTCATTTAATACATAAAGTGTCTGAAGGTGACACCTGAATTTCTAAGTAAAAATGAATCCCAAATCAGGATGAACATTAGAATCACTTGGGGAGCTTACATCGACAAATATAGGATCAAAGCCTATTATTAAGTTGCCATGATGATTCTCAGGCAACCACCATGGACTTACTGTTTTACTCCATCAACAGGAGAGAAAAAACATTTGATGATAATCTCTGTATACGTCTTTGGCTATAGTATATGTAAATGTCTTAAGAGACTACTGTAAGGGGAAATAGATTAATGTACTTTGTTTTTAGTAGACCTGTCTTACAAGAAATACTAAACTCAGCCCTTCAGGCTGAAACGAAAAAACAATAGACAGTTAACTTGAAGCTGTAAGAAATAAAGAACACTGGTAAAGGTAATCACATAGGTAATATAAAGCCAGCATTACTGAACTTCTGATTTGTAACTCCTTTTTAAATATATGACTTAAAAGGAAAATGCATAAAATAATAATCATATATATGTAAAATAAAACAATGTATAAAGATATAATTTTATCAATTAAAATATAAAGGGAGTGGAATAAAGTTGTATAAAAGCAGACTATCTCTATACTCATGAAACTAAGTTGCTATTATTCTAACTAGGCTGTTACAACTTTAAGATGTTAAGTGTAATCATTAAGAAAATAACTAAAAAATATACACAAAAGCAAGGAATCAAAAAGTTTCCCTACAAAAAACAACTACAGCTGACCCTTGAACAACACAAGAGTTAGGGGTGCTGACCCTCTACACAGTTCAAACCTGTGTTGTTCAAGGGTCAACTGTAAATACAAAAACGAGAGGCTATGGAGCAATTAAGTAACAAAAAATAGGTAAGACACAGAGAAAACTAACAGCTATATGGCAGAAGTAACTTCTTCCTTATCAGTAATTACTTTAAATGAAAATAGATTAAATCCCCCAATTAAAAAGCAGAGAAGCAGAGTACATTAAGGGGGGGGAAAAAGATCCATCTATATCTTATCTACAAGAGACTCACTTTAGATATAAAAACACAAATTATTTGAAAGTAAAAGGATGAAAAAAATATACTCATTCAAACAGTAACCAAATGAGAGCTGGTGGCTATTTTATAATTAGACAAAATGGATTGCAAAAGACCCAGAAGGACTGTATTGATGAAAGTAAAACCAGTAAGAAGATATGACTATTATAAACACATACGAACCTAGCCAACAAAGCCCCAAAATCTATGAAGCAAAAATTGACAGAATTGAAGGGAGAAATACATGTTTCCACAATAACAGATTTCAATACCCTATTTTCAATAATGGATGGAAAATCCAGACAGGGACTAAAAAGAAAATAAAGAACTTGAACACTATAAACCAATCAGATATCAGACATATATGGAACACTCCAACTAACAATAGCAGAATACATTTTTCTCAAGTGAACATGGTATAGTCTCCAGGGCAGACCGTATGGTAGGCCACAAAACAAGTCTTAATAAAAAGTATCTTTTCTGACCAGAATGGCATGAAACTAAGTCAATAAAAGAAGGAAAATAGGGAAAACTGGAAAATTCACACATATATGGAAATTAAACCACACATTCCTATGTTTTTTTTTTGGCCGTGTGGCTTGTGAGATCTTAGTTCCCTGACCAGTGATTGAACCCAGGGCCTTGGCAGTGAAAGGAAGAGTCCTAACCACTGGACCGTGCCAGGGAATTCCCAAACCACACTCTTAAACAACCAATGGGTCAAAGAAGAAGTCACAAGAAAAATTAGAAAATACCTTAAGACAAATAAAACAAAAACACAACATACCATACTTATAGGATTCAGCACTGGTAGTACTAAAAGGGAAATTTACAGCGATAACACCCTCTGTTAAGAAACAACATCTCAATGAATGATCTAACTGTATACCTTAAGAAACTGTACACCTTAACTAGAAAAAGAAAAGTGAACACTTCAGATTACATGGTAACTTAAAATGAAATGTTTAAAGATACTCAAAAGTACTGCATGCTAGATAGAACCAAAAAGTATGTGCCAGTGATTTCAATCCTAACTGACGACTTCAGTACTTTTCCCACATCACTGTTGCCTCTCGCAAATCTAATCCCTTTTTCACATGACTGCCTTGCAACTGAATAGGGCTAAAAAGGTTCCTTAACATAGACCTTGTGTTCTAGGCAAATACATACATCACTTTTTCACTTTATGAAAGTGCTTTCTGGAAAATCCCAAAATAAAAGTTATTTAAAAAAAAAAGGAAAAAGAATTTGCAAATAAAATATATTTATTAAGTAAACAGAAACTAGAATTGGAAGATATTTTAGGGATTATCTATTTCATATCTTGCATTTTATGGATAAGGCAACTGAAGCAGAGAAGTAAAGTTTTTACTCAGATAGCTAAGACTAGAACCTATGTCTCCTGAAAGAGCTACAGGAGGCAGAGATAAACTGTTGATTACAACCTCAAATAAGATTAGGGATAAGGCTTCATGTCACACATAGAAAAATCATAGTACTTTAAATACAAGCTGAGGGAACCAATTTAAACGTGCAAAGCAAAAGCACAGCAATGGGAAAATAGACATTGCTTTAAAGTTTCTTGGAGGTCATTTGTAGACAATCCTAGGCTACTTCGTACTTGTTCACTCACCCTGCATCGTATATAAAGTTCTATTTTACATAAAAACACTTCTTAAACAAGTGTTTTGCAATTGTTTACCTGCCTGTCTTTCCACTAGAGACAAATCTCTCTGTGACTAGTGTAACAAATCTAATTTTGTATTACCATAGACCTGCCACAGAGTATCTCGTATGTGTGTGCATATTTTTGAGGAATTATCTTTTGAGGTTGAAGTATAGTTTTAAGGAGAGAAATTTTCACTACATGGCTTTCTAAATTATCAAACTGAAGTAACTGAAGCCCATCTTAATACAAAGGTAAAAATAACATAAAGACCAAATCAACTTATGTCACAGAATCAGCTAAAGCTAACTGCAAACAAACAGGAAACAAACAAAACAACCAAATAGAACTTATTAGATAGGAACAATTTTGTAAGATGAAACTTAAAATTTACAATAGAAGAATAAAACCATAAAAATGTTTTTATTCTAATGCGAATAGTAAAAGGAAAAAGTTTAGCATTTTTTAAAAAGGAAAAATAATTGTTAGACTTATTAAAAATCAACATGACTTACTCTTTAATATCACGAAGTTGATCAACATCTTGTGATCTTGTAAAATCTGGATCATGGGCTAGCAGGTGAATCATATACGGAACTACATACTCAGGCAACAGTGATAATAATTTCTCTGAAGTGAAAACATTATTATTAACAATAGTAATAATAGCCTTTATAAAAATCCCTCCCTAATTTACGTTCTAACCGCTTCAGTTAACATTTTTTCCCTCAGTTATTTCTAAATTAGAGGCAACATGACATCTAGATGATACTGAAATAACTTTTTTCAATTTTGCAGGCTACTGAAGACAAAGGATAATTTAAGATTGAGTCCCTGGCAAAGCTAGGAAAGTAATTCTTTACTCTCTGACATCAGAGCAATGTGTTCAAATCAAGCCACACTGCAGATTCCCTAAGGAAAAACGCAGTTCCTCCAAACAGTTTTATGCATTATAACTAGGACTCAGAAACCAGGATTTTAGATTTTACTTACATCTTAGCTACAACAACAGCATTCTATAAAGGTCCCAGTGTTATTATAAACTATAATAGAAATATATGAAATAAAACCCTCCACAAATTGATACACTGACAAGATATATCTGCACACTGAGCACTTTGAAAGTTACTTACCAGTAGCCATGGGGTTCTGTTTAATGTACTCCCTGCGTATACTGATATTTTTTAGTAAACACTGTCGTGCATGTGCTCTTCTCTCCTTCACAGGATCTTTGGCACACAAGGCAAAGATCGCCATATACTCCAATGGGAGGAGTAACTTCACAAGTGCCTTATGTAGCTTCTGAGCAAATATCTGCCTTACTTGATAGCACTCATCCTACAGCAGCACAAAACCAAAAATACTTAAATAAAAGTATTAGTACTTTTAAAACTATGACAAAAACCCCTAGTTTAATTTTTAAAAATTGGCAAACATTTACAAAAAAACAGTTTAAGCATTTTTAATGTCTTCATTTAAAAAAAAAAAAGATAATTATACTGAGGGAGTAAATAACAATTTTGGGGAGTTAACTGGTTAGAATAGTAATAATAGCAATCCCTTTTGTGCATACATCCATACAGCAAATGGATCTGTAATCTATAGAAAGTAAATAAATTTAACTTTGAAGGCCAAGTAAATGACAAAAATAAGATTGTTACTTACATTAATAACAAGTGCACAGAGCTGAAACTGTTCTGGGGTTATAATTTCATGGTAACAAGGTTCCTGAGCAAGCTTCATTATGGCACTACCAGCAGCTAATCGCAAGCGAGACATATCAGATTTACTATAAACAAACAAAAAAGAAATAAACATTTCCTATAACCATTATCATTCACAAAACTCTTTGATCCCTTTTTGACTGTTAAGGTCTTTATCATAATTTATGCTTAAAATGACATAATGTACAAATATGGGAAAGTTACTTTGAGTCCTTCAATTCAACACAGGGCAGAAGGCTCAAATCATCGTGACTATCTGATATTAAATTTATCTGCCTTCATTTAAAATTTTTTAATTTATTTTATTCAGGTACAGCTCATTTATAATATTATATTAATTTCAGGTGTACAACATAGTGATTCAAAATTTTTATAGATTATACTCCATTTATATTTATTATAAAATCTTGGCTATATTCCCCATGTTGTACAATATATCCTTGTACCTTATTTTATACATAGCAGTTTGTACCTTTTAAGCCTGTACCCCTATCTTGCCCCTCCCCCTCCCCAACAGTAACCACTAGTTTGTTCTCTGTATCTGTGAGTCTGCTTCTTTGTTATATTCACTAGTTTCTTTAATTAATCAATCAATCAAATTAATTAACTTTTTGGCTGTGTTGGGTCTTTGTTGCTGGACGCGGGCTTTCTCTAGTTGTGGCGAGCGGGGGCTACTCTTCGTTGCAGTGCGTGGGCTTCTCATTGCGGTGGCTTCTCTTGTTGTAGAGCACAGGCTCTAGAGCGCAGGCTCAGTAGTTGTGGCGCATGGGCTTAGTTGCTTTGCAGCATGTGGGATCTTCCCGGACTAGGGCTCGAACCCGTGTCCCCTGCATTGGCAGGCAGATTCTTAACCACTGTACCACCAGGGAAGTCCTCATTAGTTTCTTTTAATTTTTTAGGTTCTATATATAAGTGATAACATATGGTATTGTCTTTGTCTGACTTATTTCACTAAGCATGATACTCTCCAGGTCCATCCATGTTGTTGCAAATGGCAAAATTTCATTCTTTTTTTATGTCTGCCTTCGTTTTTAGTTACACTCTAGCTTAGATCTTCCACCACAGCTAAGCAACTCTGCTTATGCGTACAACAGCACTAACTGCAACGCTAGCAAGAAACATTTACATTAGGAACTGTATTTCTCATTTTAAGAGGCATTCACATTCATCATAGAAAACTTGATATTAAAAAAACCTGAAAAATTAAAAATCACTTATTTAAAATCTATTGTATTTCCCACAATTTTTAAATGCATACACATATTTACACAGACATAACAGAAATCAATCTTAAGCCTACAAATGTCTGATGAAATGGAGGGGGCTATGAATTAGGAGGTGATCTGTACCAGAAAGTGGGAGGCATCAGACAAATATCTAAAAGGAAAGGATATGGAGGTGAGAGCCAGTCTCTCTCAGGTACTAGTCTCTGAGGCAGACTTTCCTTTGCAACAGGAAGTTTTCCAAGGGACTCCAGGAGTCCAGGCACTCCCACCCACACCCAGTCAACTTTTATAACCTAAATGGTAAAATGTGACAGTGAGGTGGTGAAAGGATAGTCTTCTTACTTCAACTGTTATAAGGAACATAACATAGCTTTGATAAATCAAAGACTTTAGGAAATGTGGAAAGCTGCCCTGAATCCACAAGGGACTATTATTTAGCATACAGGAGGAGAAAACATGGCACTCTTGGACCACATGACCATCAAACTGAGCACTGGTAACAATGAGGAACCTTCAAATGGCTTTTGAGGCAAATGATTCAGGAATTTAAAAAATTAATGCTACTATTTGTGTACTTAACTCTGTAAGATGAGGAAACTGAGGCTTAGGAAAGTGACTTATACAAGTTCACACAGCTAGTAAATGGAGCGTAGGTAGAGTTGAATAAGTTTCTGATTCCAGAGCCTAAGCTAAACTATGGGATACATAACATCTAATTAAGATCTGCATAATATTTCATAACATGTGTGTTCCACAGTTAACCATTCCCCTATCTTCTGTGATGATAAAAAATGCTGGAAAGAACATGTTTGTATATGTATTTTTGTATGATTCTTTTATAATTTCATGAGTGTAAAAATAAAGAGTCAAAAAAAAAGAGTCAATGGATAACATTTTTAAGGACTTAGAAACAAAGTGCCAAACTGTCCTGCCAAGACTGTGCCCATTTATATTCACAGGATTTATGAGGGAACCCATTTCCCTGATCCCATGGAGTGATGATTGCTTAAAAAACTTTTTGCTGATTTGACAGACAAGAGGTTCCACTTAAATTAAAATTGTACTTATTGTATTTAGTGATGTCAAACACTTTTTTAAAGGTAAACTGGTAATATATAATCTTCATCTTTATTGGGGATCCTATTTATCATTGATTTGTAAGAGCTCATTATTAAGCCTTTGCTGTACACTGTACATAGTTTCCCCAAATTTAAAACTTCTCATTATCTCTACTCTTCAATCTGTTCATGCAAAGCTACCCTTGGCTTATTTTATGATAAAAATAATTTTTGATTTAGTTTATTTAGTTTTCTTCAGTTTATCAGAGCATTCAGCATCTCTACTGTAATTGTGCATTTCCTATCTCCTCCACTAGAATGCATATCCCTTAGAGGGAGAGATTATTGTATCTTTAAAAGGCTTGGTAGTACCTGGCATGATAGTGCTCAATAAATACTGAAAGCATAAATACATAGTTAAATCTATCCTCTAACAAAAATTTTAAAGTAAGAATCCATCGCAAGTAGAACTTTTCAGTTATTTCAGCTGGACCCTAGTAAATAAAAAAATTTGGCTTTTATTTTCATCTTAAAAGGAACAGAAAGAAGAAATGGTGATCTCACAGATTTGAAGAGTGAACAGGTGTAGAAATGAAACATTTTTCTTTGGCATTTGCAGAACCTTGTATAGTCTTCTGCAAACCATTAGGAGGCTGCATCTCTTTCTTCTTTGAACCTACACTGAAATTTTTATTCCCTTCGTGGCATCAAGACACTCTACTTGTTCAATCACTATACTAGGGTAAGTTCCTTAAAGGCAGGAACGGAATTTTATCTGTTATTGCTGCAATGCTTTTCATAGTGTTTTGCAAAGAGTAGTAATTCAACAAATATTTGTTTAACTGATTCAAATGTTGAAGTTAACTGTAACAATGCTGTAGTGATTATTACTAAAAATTTACTGGAGAAAGGTGTCTTTAGGGATGAAGAAAAATACATGATCATTATTCAGATATAAACCCCAAATAAGTATGTAAAATTTAAACACAAAGCACATAGTGCAATTACAACAGTCAATATTAAGTAAATAATTCCTACGTAAGCTCTACCAACATCTTGAGCTAAAAAAACCTGGAAAGGAAGAAAAATCTCACCTGATCTTCTTTTGCTCTGTCAGGTCACCCTCACTAACCAACATCGCTGATAATAACCGAAGAGTTGAATTGGCAGATTTAGACTGGTTGTTTTTCATACCCAACAGCCACCTTACCAGAAGTTTAATTGCCTGTACCTATAAAATATTAACATGCTAAAAAAAGAAAGCAACTTAAAATTCCACTTAAAGGTTAGATTTATGTTAATTAGATTAGTGAGATTACTTAGCTGCCGGAAGACATGTTTTATTAAACAAGCCTGTAGGATAATAACAATGAGAACTAATACTTATTCTGTTTAATCTATGCCAGGTACTTTCCCCAGAGTTACATATATATTACTTTATTTAATCTCCCAAACAACTATATGAGAGAGGTATTTTTTTTTTTTCTGGTACGCGGGCCTCTCACTGTTGTGGCCTCTCCCGTCGCGGAGCACAGGCTTCGGAAGCGCAGGCTCAGTGGCCATGGCTCATGGGCCTAGCCGCTCTGCGGTATGTGGGATCTTCCCGGACCGGGGCACGAACCCGTGTCCCCTGCATCGGCAGGCAGACTCTCAACCACTGCGCCACCAGGGAAGCCCCGAGAGAGGTATTCTTATTTCCAATAAATAAGGCAACTTAGACACATTACTGTGATAACTTGCCCAAGGTCTGGCTCCTTGAATTCAGACTTTTCACACCTGAACAATTGATTTTCAAATCGTTTAAAAATATATTGTTTAAAAATAACTGAACTATACTGATTACAGTGATTAAAAATAACTATTTAGATAGACTGTAATATTTTTTGTAGTACTGAAAAACTATTTTGATTAAAAAACTAGGAGATTTCATAATTATTTGTAGCCATAATTGCTTGGTGGCTTATACTCAAAAGATTGTTATGGAATACATGCAAGAACTAGCTAAAGAATGTAGATATTATTTACTATATTTACTGACAACCTGGAAAAAGGAACTGATGGAATAAATGCGAACTGTGAAGCTACAAGGTGAAACAGATTATCAATCAAGTAAGATGATAATGAAGAAGTCTTGTTTTAAATCCCAAGACTACCACTTTAAAAATTAGCTTTCCTGAGGGATAATTTACATCTATCAGAAGTTTACAATATGATGACAGCCATCTGTTTTTGCCAAGTTAATATTCTTATGCCTGTAGACAGACATTGGTAATGAGGCTAGGCCTGAGGTGCTCTGAGCATCAATATTCTACAGTCTCTATGTAAAACAGCCTCACTGAAATTATCTTAGCAAGGCAGGAAGGTCTAAAGAACATGCTGACATACACCTATATGTAAATAAGTCAATGACAACTACAATTTGAGAAACATACTTTTTTTTTTTTTTTTTTTTGCAGTACGCGGGCCTCTCACTGTTGTGGCCTCTCCCGTTGAGGAGCACAGGCTCCGGACGTGCAGACTCAGCGGCCATGGCTCACGGGCCCAGCCGCTCTGCAGAATGTGGGATCTTCCCGGACTGGGGCACAAACCCGTGTCCCCTGCATCGGCAGGCGGACTCTCAACCACTGCGCCACCAGGGAAGCCCACAACTTTTGATTTAAAAATAAAGTACCTCATTTAAAATGCTTATTAACTGTTAGGTTTTAAAAAAAAGGGTATCTATAAATGTTCTTTATCTCAACATAAAAGTTATTAAGACCTACACAAATTTACCTTTGCTAGTACTTCAGGGGAAACCTCTTCATCTGGAGACCATAATTTCCCATTCTTCTCACCTGTTGACTATAGACAATTGAATAAATTTAACTTTTAGAAAAAAATTTTAAATTTTGCTCATTAAGTTTTTCATGCTTAACAGTGCAGTGCTCTAGGAAACCCACAGAAAGTCACCAAGTAGGGACTTGAAAAGAAGAACAAAGTTAGAGGGCTCAAACTTCCTGATTTTGAAACTTAACTACAAATCTATGAGAATCAAGACAATGTGGCTGGTACCTACATAAGTATAGACATATAGACCAATGGAATGAAACAGAAACCCAGAAAACCTCACATATATCACATATATGGTCTACTGATTTTTAACAAAAGTGCTAAGACCATTTATTGGGAAAAGAACAGTCTCCTCAACAAATGGTGCTGGAAAAACTAGATACAGCGACAAGCAAAGGAATGAAGCTGGACTATTACCTTATATCATATATAAAAATTAACTCAAAAAAATGGATCAAAGATCTTTACTTAAGAACTAAGACTAAAAAACTCCTAGAAGAAGGTACAGGGGAAAATCTTTATAATCCTGGATTTGGCAAATACCTGACAAAGATCTAATATTCAGAATATATAAAGAATTTTTACAACTCAACAACAACAAATTCAATTAAAAGTGGGCAAAAGACTCAATATCCAAAGAACAGCCATTAAGCACATGAAAAAAAATCTCAACATCATTAGTCATGAGGGAAACAAATCAAAACCACAAGATACTACTTTGCACCTACTAGGATGACTATTATCAAAAAAAAACAGGAAAGAATAAGTGTTGGCCAAGATGTAAGGAAACTGGAAGACTTGAGCATGGCTGCTGGGAATGTAAAATGGTACAGCCACTGTGGAAAAAATGTTTGGCAGTCCCTCAAAAAGTTTAGCATACAATGACCATGTGACCCAGCAATTCCACTCCTAGGTATATACCCCAAAGATTTGACTTTGGGGACTCAAATGTTCATATCAGCATTACTCACAACAGTCAAAAGGTAGAAAAAACCCAAGGGTCCATCAATAGAAGATAAACAAAATGTAAGTTACACATACAATGGAATACTATTCTGGCATAAAATGAAGTTCTGATACATACTACAACATAGCTGAATCTTGAAACTGTTATGCTAAGAGAAATAAGCCAGACACAAAAGGATAAATATTGTATGATAAGAGGTATCTAGAATAGGCGAATTCATAAAGCAGGAAAATAGAATAGAGGTTACCAGAGTCTGGGGGGAGAGAAGGCAATGGGGAGTTACTGGTTAATAGATACAGAGTTTCTCTCTGAGATGATAAAGTTCTGGAAATAGTGGCAATGGTTACACAACAATGTGGGTGTATATTGTAGGTGGTGGCTTGGGCCATTGTTGAGAGTTGCTTGGCTTTCCTGGGTTATCCTCTGTGTATACAGGAGGTACACATGTTATTAAACTTCTGTTTGTTTTTTAAACAAAAAATACCCAGCAACAAGAATGTGGGTGTATATAATGTAAGAGAACTGTACACTTAAAAAGGGATAAAATGGCAAAGTTTATATTATTTATATTTTACTACACACAAAAAAAGAGAACTACATTAAAATAGAATTTATCAACAATCAAGTCATCATCTAAGAAGTGTCAAATTTCACATCTGTTGCCAGCCAAATCTATCAGTAGTGCAAAGAACAGATGAATGGGGTAGGAAATGAGGCTTTGGCCATGCTCTTGCATCCCTATCACATCCAAATGGAGGAAGGGAAAAGAGTAAGGAGTGCGCTGGCAAGTATTTTTTTTTTAAGTTCCAATACTGAGTGTTCAAAGGCTACTGGACCATTTAGAAAGACTAGATAAATTGGATAAGTTAGTACTGCACTGAAAGTCATCCACAATGATCCAGCAGGTAGACTGATTGTGTCTTCATTCAATAACTCTTTAATTTAGATCTGTTTGGTAAAGTGGTGATTCTTAATCAGACACGTGTTTCAGTAATCACTTGGGGAGCCTTTCCAAGCTATACATCCCAAAGCTCCAACCCAAAGCTAATTCATCAGTATGTGTGCACGCATGTGTGCATGCTCACACACACACACTTCAATAACTAAAATAGAATACATAATCTAGTGCCAAAAGTGCAATGTAATTTATATTTCAAAAAGCTAGTCAAATACAATTCCACTTATACTTTAAACAATATTTGATAAAACAAAATTCTAGTACTCTAGTTAATTGTCCTTCATAGTGTTTGACTTATATTTTTTACTTCATGATTCATCTATCTCATGTTCTCATTTTTTTCTTTCTTAAAGAAAAGTTAAGTTCTAGTAATAATAGCTACACAGCAGGATGTCATTTGGAAATTTAAGTAAGTAAATAAGGAGGTAAAATATATAATAATTTTAAAGTAAAAGAGAATCATACATAGAGAGAAGCAGAAGTGTTGTTTCTGTGACAAATAAAGATGTAAACAGTCTTAATCTTATGATTCTAAATTTAATTAAATGAGAAACTTACCCTGTCATTCATTAGCAGATCTTTCACAATAAAATTTGCTACTACAGATTTCATTGGGGAAGCAAATTGATCTGGTGCTAACATAGATATGTGGCCCAATGAAACTAATGGAGTTATAAGTTGTTCTGGTACATCAGCATTGAGACTCCTACTGAGTGGCTATAAAAATAAAACAGTCAAAATTACTAGTTTGTTTTATAAATATCTAGACATTGTACAGAAACAGTAAATGTTCCTGAATTTATCATGCCCCCAAAAATCTGTTCTAATGAGATGATCAAAAGTAACTTCAATCATATTAGACACTTGATTCTTATTTCACCTACCGAAATTTAATAAGATTCAAAGGTAAACAAAGATAAAAGAAAAAAGTAAATCCCACATATAAGGTAGAAGTAAAAGCAAGAAAATTCCTGCATGGTCAAATCAGCATTATTTTCAAGTCATGTACAATAGTTTTGTTATGTTGTTGAATTTCTTAACCTGTGGGAACATTTTAAATGACCATGGATCATAAAAAATAAGAGTTCATGGGTTCTGTTCATATTGTATCCAATTTATAATAGGAATACTTTTCCAGTAGTGGAATCAGGCAAAGGATCATACATCAGGAAAGGCAAACAGAACGAATTTTCAAGTAGGATTGTCCAGAATTTTAAACTGGGTGGTTCAAAGTCATCTACTGATAGTTTCTTAAACTAAATGGACCACTGAGCCAATGAAGCTAAAATTAAGTAAAATGTTGTAACACAAAACACACCAAACATCTTTCAATATGTAGTATTTGGTTATATAGTCTGATCTAAAGGCTGGGAATATCTAAAGTGCTGAATAAAACAAAGAGTCCCTGCTCCCATGGAATTTATATTCTAGAGTGGGACTAAATAGCTAAAAAACCAACTTTCTATCTTCATCAAACCACAGAGCATGAAAATAAAAATCAACAACACATCCTATGTAATTATATATACCTCAAAAATCTGTGCAAGCTGTACTTCTTTATTTGTGAATATGGCATGTATACAGTGAACGGCCTGTTTTGCTTGGTGGGGAGTACCTCTCTTTGCTTTCTGATGTAAGATGGGAATTAAGGTCCTGCAAAAAATAATAATCAGTTAAAAAAAAAAAAAAAGCCCATAAACCACAAGTAGTTCTTCTGGTTGTCTCCTACTTCATCTGCAGTAACTATCTGGATGTATGCTGGTAGAAAGCCTCTCTTCTAAATTACCTGATCTATAAAAAGATCTAAAACTCCTTCCCTGTCCCCAAGTATAATCCCAGAAATACAATGCCTCAAAAAAAAAGGGCTACTACAGAAGACAATTTTCATTTTAAAGCCACCTCATGAATATGGAGAAATAAACAAGCCACCCTTAATTTATAATCTAAAATTGCCCCATGCTATATTTTTACATTTATCTTCTGAGAAGATATTCATAAATTTTCCACTTCCCTTTCACAATTCCCTTCAGTTATATTTTTTTAAGAATCAAGTGTTTTTCTGTTTTTGTTTTTTTAAATATTTATTTATTTATGGCTGTGTTGGGTCTTAGCTGCAGCATGCAGGATCTTTTGTTGTGGCTTCTCTCTAGTTGTGGCACATGGGCTCCAGAGTGCATGGGCGCAGTTGCAGTGCGAGCGCTCTCTAGTTGTGGTGCATGGGCTCCAGAGTGTGTGGGCTCTCTAGTTGTGGTGCAGGGGCTCAGCAGTTGCGGCTCATGGGCTTAGTTGCCCCAGGGCACGTGGGATCTTAGTTCCCTGACCAGGGATCAAACCCGTGTCCCCTGCATTGGAAGGCAGATTCTTAACCACTGGACCACCAGGGAAGTCCCCTGTTCAGTTATTTTTAAAGCAACCATGGGGGGAAATAAAGTAGCAAAAGGCCAAGTTACATTAAAAAACAGAAATGAACATACCAGTGAAAGAGAGTATGCAAGGATATAGACAATACATAGGTAGAAAAGTAACAAAAACTTCTAACAATTATTGAGTACTTGTGCTAAGCACCCTTCTAAGTGGTGTTTTTAAAACAAAACAAAACAAAACAAACATGGATTAATTAAATCAATCCTCATAATCACCCAAAGACTATTATTATGATCATTAAACAGATGAGAAAACTAAAGCACAAACATATTATTTATGTAAGCTTCTTAAGGTGACAGAGATAGGAAATGGTGGAATTGAGATTTAAAGATAAACATTTCTGGTCAGGGAACTAAGATCCCACGTGCAGCGGGCCAACTACGGAGCCTGTGCGCTGCCAACTACAGAGCCCATGCGCTCTGGAGCCCGCGTGCCACAACTAGAGCGAAGCTCATGTGCCACAACAAAGAACCCACGTGCCACAACTAAGACCCAACGCAGCCAAAATTTAAAAAATAAAATAAATGATTGTGACCGCCTGGAGGGGTGGGATAGGGAGGGTGGGAGGGAGGGAGACGCAAGAGGGAAGACATATGGGAACATATGTATATATATAACTGATTCATTTTGTTGTGAAGCTGAAACTAACATACCATTGTAAAGCAATTATACTCCAATAAAGATGTTAAAATGAAAAAAAATAAATGAAATAAAATAAAATGGAAATTGTTTTTTAAAAAAGATAAACATTTCTGTTCCAAATCCATGCACTTAACCACCACACTGACACTGAAGATTTACAACAATCTTTCTATAGAATATGGAAATACATATTACAGTCAATGCATTAAAATTGGCATACACATCAAATAGATAAGATTCATAAAAAATATATCAAAATGTTAACACTGACTCTTTCTTTTCTTTTATATTTTCTAAAGTTTCACCTTTTTACAATGATCTTATAAGTAGTTTTTTAAATCAGAAGAAAATCTGTAAAGCCAAACAAATATTTAAGGAAAGATACTTGTCATATATTTAATGCAATAAGACTACTTCATAAAGGTCAATGATATCAAATGCAATGGTGACAAAGGGTCCTCTTATAATAATGGGAGGCTAGACATTAAGAGCAATGCACCTCAAAGAAAAAACGGGAACATATGCTGGTCAGTCTAAGTCGAATTTGATATTTATGAATATGACACATTTCTCTCGCTGCAATTTAGAATAATGAGAAGGATTTTCATGCCAAAATAGCTTCCTTGACTAGCACTGTTTAAGTCTTTCTTTGAAATTCATTTATCAGGGGAACAGTTCTTGTAAATAACACCAGTTAGTAACAAAAGAAGATACAGTGTTGATCAAATTGTTGTTAAATATATTATTAATTCTTCTTAGCCTAATGAATGGATGATACATAGGTCAAGTTTAACCTTTCTCCTTGTTTTTCTAGTGTGCTACAATCCAGTGATGCCACCAGTGCTGTTACTGAGGTCCGCAGTGCTGTGCTTCTCTGCTTTTTCAGTGATTCTCTCCTTCCTTCCCCATTAGTCTTAAGAACAAGAGGTTTTAGTCCTTGTGTCCAAAGTTAACTCTTCCACTGCTTCCTCTGGGATAGAATTCCTTTAAGAATAAATCCTTTACCTTAAAAAAGTATAGGTTTTCCCACCTTGAAAAACTCACAAATTAACTTTATCCTGTGTCAATGATCTTTTTCTATAATGTACGAAGATAAAATTATCATTTCTAGACTATAAACTCCTTAAGAGCAGGGACTGACAGTGGTAATCTTTTATATTAGCCAGTACAGTGCCGACAATGAAGAGAATGTACAATAAATGTTGAGTTATTTCTCAAATTAAACTATTAGCTTACAAATTCAATAAAAACTTTTAGGAGTCATGAGTCCTCTTGTCCTATTATTACCTCGTAAGGAAAAACGGGTTTCATTTGGATTTACCCCAGTCTATTTACATATATATAATAACATCCGATTATAACAGCTATCAGCAATGTGTTCTTCCTCCAAAAGACATCAGCACAATTTTGATCCTAACGCAAGCTCTTTAAGATGCCAAAGTAAAAATACCAAAACATACTTCATTCTTATAAGGAGAGGGGAGGTAGTCTAGAAGAAGAGACAAAAGCACCATGGCCAACAACTAAGCAACTAATAAACATTTTATTAAGCACACTACTTGATTATCCAATTCTTGGGTGGGATATGAAGGTAGTAGCTATTGAATTTGGAGTTGGAGAGAAAAAGATAAATTAGGAAGATATATTAATCCTAAATTCTATACTAACTTTTGATTGTTAATATTAATATTTTGAAATCATGTTGTTTAAACAAAGTTTCAGGTTGTTCCTCTGCCCATATTCTAATGGTAGAGGAGGTGTGTGAGGCCGAGAAAAGATGAAAACAAAGGATACAGTAAAGTAGCTTCTAAATAAAAGTTGTCTTTCCTCTCTCCTATCTTCCTAAGGAAAAGGGAAACAATGATCCTATGACTCCCAAACTTGGAAAACTTTTGTGTTTACCATGAGAAAAAACATACTCACGATCGTATCTGGGGTAGGTCTGTTTCTATTTTGTGGCCTGTATTTCTAAAAATTTGTATAGCAGCTTCTGCTACCTTGTCATCTTCCATTCTGAGGCACTGTAACAGGGACTCATATGTCTCTGCAGAGTGGAACGAGGTAGGATGTGTGAAAGACAGAACCTAGAGGAATAGATATAACTTTATAAGTACAGACAATGGTTTTAATCCATTAAAAGAAGAGAACTATTTTCTACTACAAATAAAATTTTAAATTATGGGCTGCATATGCTAGCAATACAACTAAGATTATATCTTGCAGTCTCCCTTGAAGTTGAGTTGTGGCTAATGATTCCTGATATACAGCCCTTGCTATATTTTCTTCTTCACTTCTTAGTCTATTCTGATACTGGGAATGTGGAAAATGTGGCTCCTTTTCGTGGAGTGATACTGTGATGTGAACAAAATGCTAACACTGAGCTTTATTTCACTGGCAAAAAGATACTCTATAAGGAAATATTTTAAATGAAATCCATCACAAAAAGTTCACTCATCATAACTAAAAACAAAGAAGCCATTATTGGGAACTCAATCACGATTACAAACATATAAATAATTATTCCCTTTATTGAGACGTAAGTTCCAGGCTATCCTTAAGGAATTTACAGCAAGTTAGATACGTATTTACAAAGTTTACCTTCCACGAAGTAGAAACAATTTAGTTAGCATAATATAGGCAGTAAGGGCTAAAAGTAGAAAAATAAGGAGGTGGGGGGAATGGAGTATGTAAACCCTCATTAACTTATTAAATAAGCATTTTTTTTTCTTTTTTTTGGCTGCATTGGGTCCTCATTGCTATATGCAGGCTTTCCCCAGCTGCAGCGAGCGGGGGCCACTCTTCACTGCGGTGCACGGACTTCTCACTGAGGTGCACGGACTTCTCACTGCGGTGGCCTCTCTTGCTGCAGAGCACAGGCTCCAGGCGCACAGGCTTCAGCAGCTGTGGCTCCCGGGCTCTAGAGCGCAGGCCCAGCAGTTGTGGCGCATGGGCTCAGCCACTCCGCAGCATGTGGGATCTTCCTGGACCAGGGCTCGAACCCGTGTCCCCTGCATTGGCAGGCGGACTCCCAACCACTGCACCACCAGGGAAGCCCAGCATTTTTTTAATGTGTTATAAAGTGGAGAAAGTGTCTCATTTGGTAGGGTTTACGGTGATAATATTTAGTTATAAGGTTTTAATTATTCATAGAAAAATGGAGATTTAAATTTGAAAATTTGAATCAAACAACCTATTAAAAACATTTGCCTTAAAGATGACTTTACTCTTAAAAGTATTTAAACAGGGCTTCCCTGGTGGTGCGGTGGCTGAGGGTCCACCTGCGGATGCAGGGGACACGGGTTCGTGCCCCAGTCCGGGAAGATCCCCCATGCCGCGGAGCGGCTGGGCCCGTGAGCCATGGCCGCTGAGCCTGCGCGTCTGGAGCCTGTGCTCCGCAACGGGAGAGGCCACAACAGTGAGAGGCCCGCGTACCGCAAAAAAAACCCCAAACAAACAAAAAAATTAAAAAAAAAAAGTATTTAAACATATTACTCCATTACTAAAAATATAAAGTCCTTCTCATGAAGAATCACATCAGTTCTTTCCATGAAACGATATTTAAGGGAATTCCCTGGTGGTCCAGTGGTTAGGACTCCATGCTCTCACTGCTGAGGGCCCAAGTTCAATCCCTGGTTGGGGAACTAAATCTCACAAGCTGCTCAGCACAGCCAAAAAGAAAAAGAAAAAAAGATATTTAAGACCATTGCAATACAAACCCATCACTCTCTTTTCTGTCTAATGTCCATTGCACTGGTTTGTTTCTTCTCCTTTAGTTCATATGTTGTAATGATATAAATGTCTCTTAGCCTTTATTTATTTTATTATTATTTTTAATAAATTTATTTATTTATTTATTTTTGGCTGCATTGGGTCTTTGTTGCTGCACATGGGCTTTCTCTAGTGGCGAGTGGGGGCTATTCTTCGTTGCGGTGCACAGGCTTCTCACTGCAGTGGCTTCTCTTGTTGCGGAGCTCGGGCTCTAGGTGCGCAGGCTTCAGTAGTTGTGGCTCTTGGGCTCTAGACCTCAGGCTCAGCAGTTGTGGAGCACAGGCTCAATAGTTGTGGCTCGCGGGCTCTAGAGTGCAGGCTCAGTAGTTATGGCACATGGGCTTAGTTGCTCCACGGCATGTGGTATCTTCCCGGACCAGGGTTCAAACCCATGTCCTCTGCATTGGCAAGTGTGTTCTTAACCATTGTGCCACCAGGGAAGCCCATGTCTCTTAGCCTTTAATTTCTTCTCTTTACTCCATCTAACGAAAGCTCTATCAAGTGCTGTATCATTTTAAAAAGGAGTGTTAAATGCCCTTGATGGTACCTTTCTGCCCTAATGGCACTCCACAATCTAGAACCAACCTTGTCTTCCATTACTCCCCAAAGCAATGCTTTTATCTAGTCAGACTACACTCACAACAATCCCTAAAACATGCCAAGAATTATTCTCTTTGATGATGCTGTGTTCCCCCTAGATTAAATCATGTCTCTTACTAATTGTTCAATTCTCTTAATTCTTTGGCATCTATTATGTTTACCAATTGTTTAAAAAAATCCCAATCAGATAGATGATGTCTTACAGTAATTTCCTGTGAACAGTCCAGATGCAGGTTATTTGAAAGATAAGACTAGATTATTTAGCACATACTGTTACAAGCATAGCAGGTACGCAAGTGATGTACGGAACAGCAAAACCCATAAAACTATTATTTTATAATGTAAAATAATTATATTATTATAATGTAGAAAACGTGTTATTTTTATAAAATATGATTTCTATTACAAATTTTAATCTTTTGAATAGTTTCCAATGAAATAAAGCCTGACTCCTGCATATCCTTAAGGGGATTCAAATTATGACTGCAGAAAAGACAAACTGTTTCAAAAATACCTTAAGAAGTTCAAGTCCTGAACGAATAGCTGTATCTGGACTTACACCCTCCTCTTCATCATCTGCTGTCCCCTCTATTGATTTATTCATTAGTTTTACCAGTGCACTATTAAAGTAAGAAAATCTAAATTAGTAACACTACTATATTAGTAACTATATCCTAATTACATTGTAGCAGACATACACAGAATCTAAACAACAACTTCAAATATCTTCTGGAAGAAAAAGTTATTTTGTGACTTTAAATTTTGCTCTCTACATAACAACAGAGCTTATTTTTAGTTTATCTGCCCCACCCATGTATAATAAGAGTAATTCTACTGAAAAACAACAAAACTAAAATTAAACGACACATGTACTGGAAATATATTTTTATAAGTATAAGCAATGTAATATTCATACCCATATATAGAGATCATTTGCAATTTTAAGAAAAACAGTAAAGATGGCAGTTGCTAAATGGACAAATGACAATGCACTCAAAGCAAAAAAACATAGCAAACACTCACATGGACAAAGGCATTAATCACTTATAATTAACACTGAATCGGTAATTCCATTCCTAGAGATTTATAACAAAGAAATTTATAACAATTCATGAGAAGCATCGTGCTAAATATATCCATAAACATTGATCAATTAAAAACTATTTAATTGTCCAACATTATTGAATTAGTTTTCAAATATACCTAACCACCACAAAATGGAATACTGCCTGGTCAACATGATACTATTTTAAGTAAAAACAAAACATGACCTTTGTTTTTGAAACTTCAATTCTTCATCAGTAAACTGAAGAAGGATATTAAACTTTGAGGATATTAAATTATTACAGCAAATGGCCTAGTACAGGCAAATATTCAACAAATTTAGCTTTCACCCTACCCCAACACAAACCTCTTCCCCATTAGGAGTCACTCCTTATTCACCTCCACCTCCTTCAGCCCCAGGCATCTACTAATCTACTTTCTGTTGCTATACACATTTGCCTATTCTAAATATTTCACATAAATGGACCCGTGTACTATATGGTCTCTGTGAGTGACTCCTTTCATTTAGCATACTGCTCTTCAGGTTCATCCTTGTTGTAGTATGTATCAGTACTTCATTCATTTTAATTCTGGATAATGTTCCAATGTCTGCACATAAGACATTTTATTTATCCATTCATCAGTTGATGGTCCATTTGGGACATTCTATTTTTTGGCTATTATGAATAACATTGCTATAAACATTTATATACAGATTTTGTATGGGCATATATTTAGGAGTGGAATTGCAAGGTCATATGGTAACTCTATGCTTAAGTATTGGAGGAACTGTCAAACTGTTTTCACAAGCAGCTCCACCACTTTACATTCCCACTAGCAATACATGAGGGTTCCAATTTTTCTATATCCTCACCAACTCATCTTTTTGATCACAGCCATCTAGTGGGTATAAAGTGGTGAATCATTGTGGAGATACATACATAAAACATTGCCATCTCCACAAAAACCTGCCTTATGCCTCTTCTGTGGTCAATTCCCTTTTCCTACCCTGGCAATAACTGATCTGCTTTCTGTCAATATAATTTTACCTTTTCTAAAGTTTTACATATTTTGTGTCTGAAAACTTTTATGTGACATAATACTTTTGAGACTCCTCCATGTTGTTGCATAGAAATCAGTGGTTCGTTCCTCTTTGTTGCTGAGAAGTATTTCGTTGTATGTATATTCCACAGTTATGTTTATCCAATTACCAACTGATGGACTTCTGGGTATTTCTATTAAAGACATAAGTAAAGCTGCTAAAAGCAGTTAAGTATAGGTCTTTATGGGAAGTATGTTTTCTTTTTTTTTTTTTATGATGTTTTCTTTTCTTATAGGCAAATGTCTGCCCCATTGGGATTCCTGAGTCGTAAGGTAATGGTATGTACATTAATGTACAACAAACTACTTTAAATATCACCAACACATGGTTAGGTAAGTCTACATACTCACCAATACTTTGTATAGACAGTATCTTTAATTTTAGCCATTCTAGTGGGTGTGTAGTGGTACTTCTCACTCTAATTTGAATTTGCATTTCCCCAATGAGTAATAATGTTGATTGTCTTTTCTTGTGCTTATTTACTATTTGTATGTTTTATTTGATAAAGTATCTGTTCAATTTTTTGGGCCATTTTAAAATTGGTTTGTTTGTCTTATCTCCACGTCTGCGGCTTGACTTTTCTTTTTCTTAATGATGCCTTGCAGAGAGGAAAAAAATAATTAACTTTTCTCTCATTGTTTGTACTCTTTATGTCCCATCTAAAATCTTGCTCACCCTGTTATTTTGTTTTAGAATGGTTACCTCTGACATTATACATTTAAAAAAAATTATTTCCAATTTGAGAAAAATATTCTGAATTAAGCTTTCTATTAGAAGGAAATCCCATAAAACGCATGAATTTATTAACACGATTACAAATGTGTTTGATAAAATTTACAAATGTATCTGACTACTCATAATAGAGTCCGTGCATGCATTTATTTAATAAGTATTTATTGACTACCTACTGTGTGTGAAGTCTTAGGGTCTATCCTGGAAATACAGTGCAAAACAAGACAGGCATAATCTCTGTTTTCATTACAATGTGGGTGGGATCACCCTTATGAGTCAAAAAGCTATTTGGGTGAGACAGACCCAAATCTTGAAGCCAGAACTATAGTCCTTCCTCTTGTGAAAGTATTCTTCCTCATTTCTAAATTAGATAAATAATATACACTCCATATACTTCACAGAGTATGATGAAGCAAAAGATCATCACCAATCCAAATGCATGTTCAAAACTGCTTGGGAAATTATCCATGTGTCCGTTTCTCTCCTATCCTATATAACAACTGTTAAAAATCTTTACCATTCTAACTCAGGTCTAATTTTTAAATCCTTCCACTGAGCAGACTACCTCACTGTTGACATAAAGGAGAACAATGGAGGCTTTGAGTGAAAACTGTAATTTTCCATATCCTATTTTCTAACCTCCTTTAATGCCATAGGGGAAGATTTTCTTCTTCCTGTTCCATTTCTTTAGGGATGGTGCTCTATCCTAGTTCTATTCCCCTTACCCCATCTTCAACCTCTCTTCTTTCCTTTTAGCACCTTTTAAAGGTATTCAAATATTCAAAATCCCTTCATTAAAAACAAGAAAAGACCCTTCTTCAACCTTACTCTCTTTCCATCAACTCATTTTTCTCCTTTACTTTTTATAGCTAAACTGTCTATACTAGCTGTCCCCAAATCCCAATTTATCTCCTATAGCAGTTTAGAAGGGTGATATGGTATATATCCCTTTGATTTTCTCAGACCTCAAGATGGCCAAGTGGTATCTAGTGGGCTCCTACTCAGCTAGGCCAGTCACCTCTAGACTTGAGCAGTTTTCTCTGCTCAAATACTGTAATTTTCTTTGTGTACCATGATGTGGTGTGGAAGGACTATCCTATGCCCTTCTCAATCCATAGTAATCTGGATTTGTCCTTGCTAACCCAAAGAAACTATTCCGGGCATTGTAGTGGTTTTCTATTTTCTAAATTCAGTGGATATTTGAATTTACTATTTTACTCTGGGCAGTATCTGACCCCTGATCTCTTTTGACCATGCCTTCTTAAAAAACATCTTTTAATTTAATAAATTCCTTTTCTTCTGCCAGCCTTTTAATTGTTAATATTCCTCAGGATTCAGTCCTCAACCTTTCTCTTTCTAAATTTTACCCTCCCCCCAGGTTTCAATCATTATTACAATCACTACTTCATTTTCAACCACTATCTACAGACCAATAACTAACTGTAGCATGCATATGTGTATTTGTATGTACATAAGTCTGGGGGAAATACACTAAAATAAATAAATATATTTTAAAAAGTTATACTTAGAATGATTTTCTACTATTCTCAATGCTTCCCTCCCAAATCCTTCATTATGGCTGAAGTATATGCAATTTTCTAAATAATTCTTGATTCCTTTTGCCTTTGTTCTTTTGTGTCTGCTATTTTTCTTCCTAGAATAGCTATTAACATTCATTTAGCACTTAACTATGTGTGAGGCATTATGCTAAGTGTTCTACATACGTATATGTTATTTAAGCCTCTCAAAAACTTCACTTAGTAATTATTATTGTTCTTATCTTAAAGATGAGTAATTTAAATAACCTGCTCAATGACACAGGGCTAGTGGCCTGGTCTGCTCTTCTGCAATCTTCACCTGGCTGATCTCTATAATTCCTACTGATCATTCACTACCCATATTATGTGCCATCTATTTCAGGAGCCTTTTCTAATAACAAATACATTTCACACAATTCAGGTTAGGTAACTCTCCTTCCCCAATTGCCCAATGTACTTTAAAAATCACTCCTCTAAAGGTATGTTTAATGAATAAATAAACCCTTTGTTTGCAATTTATATTCCATGAAAATTTGGTTACATGGAAGGAATCTTATATGACATATATTTCTCAGTAAAATTAATAAATTGGAATTTTGCATAAAATTAGTCTCTTAGACATCCTAACCATAAGTTAGTTGGTTTTTCTGAGCCCAAACAATCATGACACTACTGAAAAAACTGAGTTTTTGGTCTTTTAAGACTGGAGATCAAACACTAGCTTATTATAATTTAGTAAAGTAATGAAACTCTGTGAGGCCTCATGGAGACAAATACCAAAGGCTTCCTGATGCCAATTATATGTCTCTTTCAAAATCAATATGCAAAGGAAAGAGTGCCTACCATTTCCTTGATTTACCCCATTAAAACCAAACGGTATAGAGCAAAGGACACTGACACTGAAAATAATAAATCTCAGTTTAAGTTATGGTTTTTGCTATTACCCAGCTGTAAAAAAACTACCTGGTCTCTCTCAGAACCTTAGCTTTCTTACTTGCAAATAAGGAAATTAAAAGATAAGGAGATCTTAGCTTAAAAAAACAAGAAAACTCCACAAAAAAACCCCTACAAACATCACCATTACGAGCTTAATTGTGTACCCCTAAATTCATTGTGTTTAAGTCCTAACCTCCAGTACACCTCAGGATGTGACTGTACTTGGAAATAGAGCCTTTAAAGAGATAATTAAGGTAAACTGAGGTCAAATGGGTGGGGCATAATCCCAAATGATTGGTGTCCTTATGTGAAGAGGAGGTTAGGAGACAGACATGTGAGGAAAGCAAAGAGTTATCTCTGCATCCCATGGAGTGAGGCTTCAGAAGAAATCAAACTCGCTGATACCTTGAATCTTGGACTGCTAGCCTCCAGAATATAAGAAAATAAATTTCTGTTGTTTAAGTCACACAGTCTGTGGTCTTTTGTTATGGCAGCCCTAGCAAACTAATACAATTGGAATTTCAATACAACCAAAGCAGTGATTCACATAAGATAAAATAACTAACAGCTAGAACCAGGTCTCCTAATCCAAAGAAAAGAGAATCAATAAATGCTATTTAGTTACCCAACATAAAAAGATATGTAGATAATCTACTGGAAAAATGGTTAGTGCAAGGGAAAAGCATTCTCAGAAGTTTACAACAGAAAATCATTAGAAACAAGTGAAATGCATGAAATTATGGGAACAGTTAATTAAAAACAATAGCTGTCAATGTCTATTATGCTAGTCTGCTTACTTTTTGCATATTATCACTAATTTTCACATTCATATAACAAGATGTTATACTCATATTAAAGTTAAAAATAAATTAAAAACTCAGATAAAGTAGGGCCAAAAAACTGGTAAGTAATACACGTGTTTAGAAAGCAGATTAGTCCAGTGGCAATCTTGTGCTACCTTCAAACTATTATTCTGTTTTTCACATATCTCAAGTGAACAGTAATATAATACACACTAAAGAACACTATGTGGCCATGAAAACTGTTAAGAAAACTCAAAGGCTGATGATAGCCTATAGATTTAAAATTTTCTTCCTTCTCATGTTCCAGGTTTTCTTTAATGAGCACATACAAGCTAAAAATAAACACAAGAACTCTTAAAAAAATCAACAGTGAAGCAAACCAAAGATCAAAAAATGAACTTTGGTCCTTCTTTCAACTTCAATGATATATGCTTCTGCCTTTAAAAAGGTGTACAGGAAACCTTTTTAGGTCTCCTTGGGGACCCAGAATTTAAACTTACAATACTGTAGTTTCAGATTATATTCTATTTATGAGTGAATATATTTCCTAGCTTACCTGATGGCTTCTGAATCAATGTGCACAGGTGCAATTCTTTCCAACAGAAATTTGACCATTTCTAGAAAAGGATTTGTTGGCTGCTTAGGATTTGCAAGTTTCCGGGCTATTTCTCTCTATAAAAAGGAAAAGAGTTTTTACGGTAAGTATCATCCTCTTTCATGTTTTTCAAAATAAAAATGATCACAGGCAACAAAAGCATTTAAAGATTCAAAACCATCAGGCGTAAAAAAGCCCTTTTCCTGCTTTACAGCCTGACTAAAATGATATACTCATTAGGCAATCACTAGAAAACCTGGACTGTAGAGAAAAGAAAGGGGGTGACAAGGTATGATTTATGCCCTTTGTCTCATATTTCTCCCATAAAATTAATACCTTGTAAACAATCTTTTTAATGCTCTACTTTTGAAAAAATTAAAACAATTTATACTTTCATGGGTTTCATTGGTTTATTTCATAGTTTGAAAAAATACTTTTATTTCAGTCAACAATTTGCTTTTTTTTTTTTAAAGAGGGGAAGACTTGTAAGTGTATAAAGTTTTTCAGCTCTGGAAGAACACAGTTGAGTTCAAAGACGGTGGCATTACATCAAAGAGCTCCTACAAAGAAAAGATATTACTGCTGGAACTTTCTAAAGAATATAAGGACTTAATGTTTGTAAAGACTGAGTTCTCCAAAGACAAGGTTAAATTTACAATGTGCTGGGCACTGGGGTAAGAAATTTACTTTAATAACAAGGCTTTTAATTGACTATCTCTGATGAATAGGTGAAAAATGTTAGCTGACAAGATAAAGCATATTATAAGTGCTTTCTGAACTATAAAGCAATAACAAATGATAGTCACTCTATTAATTTTTTGTAAAAAAAATTTTTAAGGATATTTGTCCAAGGGGATAAAGGAGAAAGGAAAAATATTTCTATTGTAGTTTCAGTAACATCTTGACACAAATTAACTATAAAGGTCACATTAAATTAGATACCACCCATATTTGTTATTAGAGTGTAAATCCAAAGGACTGAGATTCTGAAGAAAATTTATTAGTCACTAGGAGATGCTTGATTTATTTTGCAAGCTGTAATTAATCAAGCAAAATTTCAGCATTTGAGAAAATAAAAATATTTTAGGGAGTGCTTAGGCCTTATATACTTTGCTCTAAACCACAGATACACATTTAAAATCAACTTAAATACTCTACTTTTTTTTTTTTTTTTTTGCTGTACGCGGGCCTCTCACTGTTGTGGCCTCTCCCGTTGCGGAGCACAGGCTCCGGACGCGCAGGCTCAGCGGCCATGGCTCACGGGCCTAGCTGCTCCGCAGCATGTGGGATCTTCCCGGACCGGGGCACGAACCTGTGTCCCCTGCATCGGCAGGCGGACTCTCAACCACTGTGCCACCAGGGAAGCCCCTCTACTATCTTTTGAAATCAGACTTATTTTGTGCAGGTCTCCCAAAGAGGCGATTTTCCCCGACTTCGTATAAAATATAGTTGCTTTAACATAAGATAAAGTCAAGTGATTGTCTAACAACAAATATGCCACTGGAAAATTGCTAGGCAAACTATATCGTCAGTACTAAAAAATGTAAAAACTAGGCATTAGGAAAGAATTACAGTAATACATATATAAGCATAAGAAAAATAAAGGAAATGCTAACAGGAAAAAGAATAAATCACATTTAAGCACAGTAATAGCACTATATAAAATACACCAATGCATGTAAATAATAATATTAAGGCACAGTTTTAAAAACCTGACATTTTTGTATTCCCATGTAACAATCTTACATTTAAGTAATCCTTCAAACCATATTTTATGTATGTAATATTTAGGTAATCTCTTATAACAATTATTTTAAAATAATATATGTCATAATCATAAGTGATACTGGGGATAAGCAACAAGCCAAATTAGTATGTGGCAAGTAAGCAGCAACAAATAAACAGTTTCCTTGTTTTCTTTACACACTCCAGAAAAAAAAAGGGGTACTCACACATACTTCCAATACACAAACAGAAACATATACCATATGTAACCCTTTTAGGAAATGATGGCAGAAAGAGTAAGAAAATTAATTCTTTCTATATTCCTGACAATGCTTCAGAAATTTCTGATCAAATCTATGCTATCACTGCAGATTGATATTTACTAGTTACACAGTTACTAGTTACAATTACATAAGTTGTTTAGAATACTTAAGCACTCTTAAGGTATATCAAAGAAATAAGGAAATAGCCCCTATTCTCAAGCAGTTTATAATTTACTAATTTGTTATTACAAAAAAATTTTTAAAGCTTTAAAAAATGCTGCATCTATATATCTCCTTTCTTTTTCATACATGTCTGCTTTCTCATTCTGACAATAAGAAATACCTATTTGTTTAAAAAAAAAAAAAAGTGGACTTCCCTGGTGGTGCAGTGGTTAAGAATCTACCTGTCAATGCTGGGGACACTGGTTCAATCCCTGGTCCGGGAAGATCCCACATGCTGCAGAGCAACTAAGCCTGTGTGCCACAACTACTGAGCCCACGTGCCACAACTACTGAAGCCCACGTGCCTAGAGCCCATGCTCCGCAACAAAGAGAAGCCACTGCAATGAGAAGCCCACACACTGCAACGAAGAGTAGCCCCCGTGTGCCACAACTAGAGAAAGCCTGCATGCAGCAATGAACACCCAACACAGCCAAAAATAAATAATTTTTTTTAAATTAAAAAAATTTAAAAAGTTAAAAAAGAAAGTATTCTTTCACATACACGGTATTTCCTCTTGTATAATTTACTGCTTTCCTAGCTAATAAAAATGATTCCTGACGGACTTCCCTGGTGGTCCAGTGGTTAAGACTCCATGCTCCCAATGCAGGGAGCCCGGGTTCGATCCCTGGCCAGATCCCATATGCCGCAACTAAGAGATCCCGCATGTCACAACTAAAAAAAAAAGAAGATCCCACATGCTGCAATGAAGATACCGCATGCAGCAACAAAGATCCCATGTGCCAGCAGTGCAGCCAAATAAATTAAAAAACAAAGGCTTCTGCATTAAAAAAAAAAAAAGATTCCTGAAAGGATTTGGATTATCAATATTTTTCTGTAGCTGGAATCAGTAAACTAGATAAAACACATCTCTCACAAGAAATAATTTCCAAAGGTTTAACTTTCATGTTAGTGACCTATTCTTTTGGATTCCTGGGCCCAACATGGTGAACAGGGGCGGGGGGGTGTCCCCCCGCCACCAACAAGCAATTCTCTGCACACAAGCAGAGCATACTAAAATTCAATCTCTACCCCTCACCCGCCCAACTCTCCCACTTCAGATGCCAGTAGCAAGCCCAGGTTTACCTGTACCTCTAACCAAATGACTATAAATCAGAGGTTCCCACAACCCCCATCCCTTCCTTGGGCTCAATTAATTTGCTAGACTGGCTCACAGAACTCAGAGAAACATTTTCTTACTACTGCTAGATCACTGGTTTATTATAAAAGTATATAACTCAGGAACAGCCAGATGGAAGAAATGCATAGGACAAGGAAAGGACGAGCTTCCATGCTCTCTATTCGCTTGCTACTCTCTGCAAATCTCTACATGTTCACTAAACCAGAAGCTCTCTGAACTGTGTCCTTTTGGGGTTTTATGGAGGCTTCATTACATAGGCATGATTTGGTGGCACAGCGGTTAAGAATCCACCTGCCAATACAGGGGACACTGGTTCGATCCCTGGTCCAGGAAGATCCCACATGCCACGAAGCAACTAAGCCCATGAGCCACAATTACCAAGCCCGCGTGCCGCAACTACTAAAGCCCGCACACTCTAGGGCCCGTGTGCCACGACTACTGAGCCCGCGTGCTCCAACTACTGCAGCCTACACACCTAGAGCCCGTGCTCCACAACAAGAGAAGCCACCACAATGAGAAGCCCGCGCACTGCAACGAAGAGTAGCCCCTGCTCGCCGCAACTAGAGAGAGCCCGTGTGCAACAACGAAGACCCAACGCGGCCAAAAAAACAAACAAAAATTATATTAAAAGAAAACAGGAAGCATTCTATGACTGTTAAATAGCGTAAGTTAGCATCTCTCTCCTTTTGTTTTTTTCTTCTCGACCTCCTCCAGGAGATATAACTATGCTAATACATACCAACAAGGCCTGAATCTCAGATTTCTAAATATAACTGCTGGAGGCTACATATACATCATTATCTTCTCCTATCCCTAAAGTATCTCCTCTGATATCCAGTCATCCCAACTAGAAATAAAGCAGTCATTCTTCATATACTGGTCTAATTCCTACTCATCCTTTAAGATTCAACTCAGGAATGACTTATTCTAGAACAAGCTATTCCCATTTCCACCCCTGCCTGGGATGAAGCGCATGATTCTATCAGAATATTTAACACACTGTATTCTCTATTGAAATATTTGCCTGCCTCTGTCACCTAAACAGCAACTTCGGTGAGAGAGCATGTATAATACAATTTACTAAATTATGTAATGAATTATAATGGTGTAGGCTTGATCAAAGGACAAAATATACTTTGGACTTCTGAAGACACGATGCATATCCAAATAATCCCGCAAGGAAGGTTTTTCTTTAAAGTATAGTCCGTGAACTACTCATCAGAATCACTTTGAGACTTTGCTAAAAGATGGAGATTCAGGACCCCACGCTAGACCTATTTTAATAATTCTTAGTGTTTGTCATGTATATGTAACATCATAAGAATTACTATCTATTTACATCCTATAGGGCAGTGCAAGGGGCCCTCTAGTAGGCCGTACATAAATTTTAATTTTATCTTATTCATTCAACAATCCAATGAGGTTGATAATATTTATAGGTGAAGAATATGAGGCTCAGAAATGCTGAGTAACTTATTAAAGGTCAAATTGGTAGTAAATGCTGAAATTCAAACCTAGGACTGTCTCAAATGCTGAATCAACAATATTCCTGGAAAATCTTAAAATTTGGGAACCATGGTCATAGGAACATGCTAGAGGATAAAATAGCAAGCAGAGCTGAAGCTATGGCAAATAAGTGGTCCTCCACTAGAACCAAGGTGTGGAAACTCAAAACCTGAAGTCCAAAGAGAAAGCAAATCTATACAGCACGTATTTCAATACCATTGCTCACCCTCTCACTATACCATCATGTATACTCGCATTAATCTACGGTATGTGTCTATTCATATTCCTCGCTCGAAGTACTTTCGCTAAAATTTTTTAGGAATGGAATTGAAACAAAAGGGGAAAAAATATCAGATCTCCACTCCTACTAACTGTTACTGAGGAAAAAAGGAATGTGGATATTAAAGGATATGTATAACTAATAACAATAGCCTTTGGGGAGAAGGACAAAATGATACAGATGTTCTGGGAAACAGCAAAACTATTCTAACGGTGGTTGTTTTCCTGAGCATTTAAAGGGTATTACAAATCCTACTTTACACATGAGAACATAGAGGTAAAGTTAAATAATGTGCTCAGAATACACAATGCTAATGTAAGCTAAGAGAGAAATTACTGTGAAACCATTTACCAAAGAAAATGAACTAAAAAATACGAAGAGTAGAAATTTTCCCCTCTGGAACAGAGTTCTTTTAGCCATTTGGTGGCCCATTTCTTAAATATCCTCAGAATAACCTCCCCTCCAAAAAGGTGTCATTACCATGCTCTTTCCAGTGCAAGTCCAGTCCTCATCTCCACCTTCCTGCTTCCTACAATCAATTCATCCTGAGATGTTTTCCTTACAACATCTGTTTTACATATACATTTTGGATTTGGTAACTCTTAGATATTTCTGTTCTGACAAATAGTAGGAATTCATGTTAGTACCATTTCTCAAACTCAAGCTCAAGTCTTATTTTTCTCAGACCAAAAAATACCACTTGATTGTTCATTCTCAAGGTCCACATTTCTTGAGCAGTACTCAGTCTGTACTGGTTCTTGCAAACAATGATGAAATGTATAGAAAGAGCACTATGGAGGGTCTGTGAGATCTGGACTCTACTTGCAGCACAGCCACTATAACCAGCTGTGAAACACTGGATGAGAAACTTCATCTCTTTAAAATTCAATCCCTACCTGTAAAATGAAGTGGTTAAACCAATTCTCTCTGCATTTTTTTCAAGCTATTTCATTCTATGATCAATTATATTAGTAGATGCCCGGCAGAATACAGTATTCTGGAACTAGAATTCTAAATGCCGAAGAAGTAAATGAAACCTTTAAATGTTCTCAGCAAACCATCCTGTTCAGAAGTGCAAAGAGTGAAGTATTCTGGGCACCTGGCACAAGCACATCCCTAGGCCCAGTGGAAGAGTCCACTGCTTCCTTTCCTAAACTGGCTTCCTCCCACCTGTTCCTGATTACGCCTTTTTTTTTTTTTTTTGCGGTACGCGGGCATCTCACTGTTGTGGCCTCTTCCGTTGCGAAGCACAGGCTCCGGACGCACAGGCTCAGCGGCCATGGCTCACGGGCCCAGCCGCTCCGCGGCACGTGGGATCTTCCCGGACCGGGGCACAAACCGTGTCCCCTGCATCGGCAGGCGGACTCTCAACCACTGTGCCACCAGGGAAACCCGACTCCTCTTTTAAGATCCACTTAGAGACCCTATATCCCTACTAGACTGAAAAAAATACATACTCCACGTTCCCAGATGACTTTGTATATACATCTATTATAGTCCTTATCCCTTATCACATATTTAAATAATTACCTTTCTAGAACAAAGTTAGACATAAATAACTGAAATGATTTTCTTTCTCTTATTCATCTCTGTAAGCCTGGTCGCAAGCACAGTGTTTGTCATATATGTGTAATACTATAGAAATGCAATTTATTTAAATCCTAAAGGGCAGTCTAGGGCCATGCATCTATATCTACATAGGATATCTGTATCTATCTCCTCTTAATAATCCTGTGAGGTTGTTAACATGTAGAGATGAGAAAAATGAGTCTCAAAAATACTGAACTTACTAAAGGTCTCACTGGTAGTAAATGGTAAAGATGAAATTAAACAGAAACGGTCTCATAAAATGCTAAATAAATGAATGGATGAATTTTTCCTTCCTGATATTGTCAACAATTGGTTTTCTCTATAAAATAAAGAGTCTAAGAATAGAATGAAGACAAAAGCCTAAATAGGAATTACCTTATCTATAAATGCGTATATGCCAATGTAACTATTGTTGATTTACCTACTAATACATGGGAGAAGAAAATACACACACAACACACAAAAGCATTTAATTTACCTAATGAATGTCTACTAAATACAAAGCATTTTATCTTGCTCAATTCCTAGGATCAATCTCCCTGGCTTAGTTCTCTAGTGTTTTTCCTGGAATTTGGCTGACGAGTGGTAAGTAAAGAGAACTAAATTGACCACAGATATACTCCTAGGTAATTCAGAGCTCACAGTATTGTTAAACTCACACAAATAAAATAATCTATGTAAAGAAGGCTTTAATGAAATGTAAGTTTCTATAAGCAAAGCTAGGAGAACAAATATAAAAGTATAATTTACTAACCACACAAACATCTGCCTGTTTGCACGAACAGGTTGGACTGATTAACAACTCCAACTGAGACCGCAGTTTTTCATCATCACCAAGGACTTGGTTAAATTTCTTCACAAAATCTTGTGCTTTCCCAGGGTCAGGCAAATTCTCTATAAAATTCAAAGAGAATCAATACTACAAAAGAAAAACCACTAAACTAAAAGCAAGCTGTCTTAAAAAATACTGCTGAGGCATCAAAAGATAATCAGTCAATCTGGCTCTTAGAAATAAAATTATTAAGAAAAGGATTACTTTTTCTTACTTAGTATTAAACTGATAGTCCCCCTGGGTAAATTATTTGATGTCTACTATATACCTACGGAGTGAATAAACATACTCACTTGCTATGGTCATCAGTTTTCCAAACATGGCAGAACAGTTAGCCTCAGACTGAAATTTAAAACAAAAACAAAAGCTGTCACATGTGCTACCAAATTTTGGTAAGAAAAATATACTCAGTATTGTACATTTTTTTAAGTTAAAAAAAAATCCATCACAATATACCCACTAGAAAATGGCTTACCATATCTACACCCTATGTTGATGACAAAGAACTATGAAGTACCCACAACTATTAAGTTAGCACAAATAGAATGAAAGGAGATGCCAGCAGGAAGTTATTTAAAAATTTTTAAGAGTATATAACTTTCATAGGAAAGTTATCTTGCCAGGAGACTGAACAGAGAAGATAATGAAAACAATTATCATATCAAAATTACTATGAAACCATACACCAAAGAAAATTAAATAAAAATGTGGAGAGCAGAAAAATTTTCTTTCTGAATAGAGTTCTATCAGCTATTTTGTGGCCCATTACTTAATATATCACCTCCCCTCCTACTGCCCTTTCCTCCATTACAACAAGAGTATTATTTTATTATTGAATCTGCATGGTCCCATGAACCACCCGCTTTTGTTAAAGTTTTGTTGGATCACGGTCATACCCATTCATTTGTATCTCTGACTGTTTCTGCACCACAAAGGCAGAGTTAAGCAGTCATGGAGACTGTATGGCTGGCAAAGCCTAAATTTTTACTATCTGGTCATTTACAAAAAAAAGTTCAACAACCCTTGCTTGGGCCACTGAGGGGTCTCTGTGTATGGTTCCCTGGTTAAGAACACCTATTCTAGCAAATATGTTTAGAAATATATTAAGAGATTATTCAAATTTCTTTTATCCACCTTCCAGAAAATGTTGGGCAGTATTTCTTTGTTAATTTGACTTTGGCATATTCAAAGGATTGATACCTGATTTGATACTGACTCTATAATAAAGGACCAAATCACAGAGCAAAAAACATTTATGACTTCTAATTTTATATTAAGGTTTAATTCTAATGATTTGATAATTGATAAACTATAACTTCTTAGTGTCTAAATACTTGATAAGTTGGAAAACACCATTTCTTTGCTCATGCTGGAAAATAAAATTTTGTTATATTCATGTGAAATGCAAATTTAGCTTGGATAACCACAGAAATTGTTTAACTGACATGTGGAAAACAAAACACATGAAATACTTTTTGCTTGCTTCATTATATATGACTATAGAAAAATGAACAATGACTAAAACTGAATTTAAATAAAACACCATGAACCTACCGTAGGCTGCTTGTGCAAATCCAATAGTTCTCGTACATGACTTCTAAGCATGTTCTGACACTTCCACATTTCATTGAGAGCCCTGTAAATAGTTAAAAATATGAAAAAAATACATAATAAACCAATACTGGTAACTACTCAACCTTACTACTTCTCTTAATGAAGAATGGTGATTCTTCTACATCTACCTAAAATTTTAAGCACCAGAAAATTTACTTATTAGGATTAACAGAGTTTAGTTTAAATTACTTAATATAAGGCTTCTTATGAGAGAAAATATTTGAGAAGTTTCTAAGGATGAACAGGATCATGCCAGGTAAACTGAAGGAACTGAGACAGTCTAAGCAGAGGAAGCCAGAATGTTCTGCTACAAAGAGAGATAAAATGTCATCAAAGCCCATGGCACATACAGGAAAGTGAAAAAAAATTTATAGGCTTGGAGCACAGAATGTGATTGGGGGAGCATAAGGAAGCTGGAACATACAATAGAAAAGGATCAGATCATGAAGGCCTTTTTATGCCAGGCTAAGGGGGTATGCATGAAGCAGTGTAGACTATTTCAAAAAATGAATTTCTTAGAAATGATGTGGATTCAAAATGCTAAATTAAACTGAGTTTCTTTATTCTAGACTCTTTTCTCTCCACGAAAGCAGATTTTCTTCTCTCACAAACCCACTCTGTAATTTCCGGTGCCCAAAAGACCTCTGGGAAGTTAGTCTATCTCTGAGTACTCTTTGTCAAATATTTTGAAATATAAACAGAGATCAAGACCTTAGGCCGGGGTTTACTACCTACAGTGAACATTATAAACCACTTTCAAATCCTTTTTTAAAATGATGGCTAATGTCTCCTAATAGGATGCACCAAGGATACATTACTCTGTGGACTTTCTGCTGAAAATGCATAATCTTGATCCAATGATGAGGAAACACTGGGTAAATCCAAACTGAGAGAACATTCTACAAAATAACTGGCCTAGGCAATACTCTTCTGGAAAATGTCAAAGTCATAAAAGACAAAGACAGACTGAGGAATGGTTCCAAATTAAAAAAGACTAGAGACATGATAATTAAACATGCAATGTGTAATCCTAGAAAGGGAAAAAAACATCCAAAAAGGACATTATTTGACAATTGAAGAAATCTGAATACACACTGGATTAGACAATATTTTAAAATGTTAAATCTCCTGATTTTCATAAAGGCACTCTAGTTATATAAAAGAGTATCCTTGTTCTTAGGGAATACACACTGAAGTATTAGAGGTAAAGGGATCCAATGTCTGCAAATTACTATCAATGGATCAGAAGAAAATACATATATAAAGTATGTGCAAATGGCAAATGATAAAAAGCAAATGGTCAAAAATTATGAATCTGGCTAAAGAGTATATCACGAAGCTTTGTTTTATTCTCACAACTTTTCTGTAAATTTGAAATTATAAGAAATTAAAGGCAATATATATATATATATGTAAATGGAACAGCTGAGGTTCTTATTCAGAAAAATCAGAATTCTCAATGACAGGAGTTATTTCGTTTTTTAAAAGCTTTATTAAAGTGGAATGTCCACACATCCTAGGTAGCCTGGGATAGTTAAAGTTTATGCCAGTTGTCTGAACAAAATTATTACTAGTGCCTCCTTTCAATCTCAAAAATATCTCAGTTTGGACAATCAATCACATGGTTATTCTACATAGAAGTGATCTGGACACGCTCTCCTGACAAAGAACCAGTTCTTAGCTCTTAGGCTTAGTATGGTAAAGCTCCAGTAGTATGATTCAGATCTCAGCCAACAGGTGACCAAAAGATAATTTTGACACGGGGACTTCTTTGAATCCCTGAAACCATATTACTGGCTCAGTTGCCAAATATGCCTATGCATATAGGAATATTTTTGCTTTTAACTTAACTGGACTTATATAATAAAAATTTCCTCTATAAATACTTATCTGAGGTTCTTGATTCAACCAGAAGAAGCAACAACCCTATCAACAACAATTAATTAAATAAGATGAAGTAATTTTATAAAATCTTCAAGAAATACTCCAATCATTTAAAAAGTAACTCACTTGACAGCATTTGGATCCAAACTAGCATATAAATAATACAAGCATTTCATTCTCTCTTCTGTTTCCAGGTTGTGGGGGACAAGATACTGAGCAAAGATTTTCTCTACCAACAGTCTACGAGGCAAACAAACAAAAAACCCAAATAACAAAATTATTCTATTTGTTAGACGCCACAGCCATTTCATATTTTATCCACCTCATGCAAAGATATCACACCAATGATGAAACTTATCTGTGAAAATACAATGGAAAAGATCAGTATGTGATCAATGCTTTTCCTTGCAAGTATGGCTATTTTAAAATTTAGAGCTACTGTTGCTATTTGTGACTTTATGTTTTATCAGTATGAAACATTTGTCCTAAAAGGGTTATATATTATTCCTAAGCACAGGGTGCTAGGCTGTTCTACCTGTTTTCTTCATCAGTCTGGAGCTATAGCAAATTAACATTACACATAAAGTTATGATCTCAAGAATAATTAATTCTCAAAAAAAAAAAATTTCCTTTGATTATTTTGGCTCCTTTCCCATGTTGTCACATTTAGTAAAATCAGGGGGCTCTTCCTTCATCTTCCTGAAAATTCAGCTTTTCTTATGCACATCTGTCTCCTTTCCACATTCTAAATTCCTCACCAATATTAAAATATCCTTCTTGCTAAGCTTATAATTATTATTCAACATCACTGGAATAAGAAAATTTAAGGGCTCTTCATTAGTCAATGAAATACATAATCGATCATGTCAAAGTAGTCAGTCTAACTCAATAAAACACTGCAAAGTATTTTGCAAAAACCGAAATCATTACTATAATCCAACAGAGAATTGTAAGTAATATTCAGAAAATGAAAACAATATAAGTTCTCATCTCAAGAGAAGAATTTCCTAACCATGCACGGGGACGAATGTTAAAGACATTGTGGTGATCATTAGGCAATATATACAAATATAGAATCATTATGTCATACACTTGAAATTTAATGTAATTCTGTATGTCACTTATACTTCAATAAAAAAATACAGTAATACCTCTATTGGTACTTACAGTGTTGTAAAAAGGAAAAAATAACTAACAGTTATTAAATAGTGTTACTCTGCCAGGCAGTAAGCTAGGGGGCATTACATTCATTATTTTATTTAATCCATAAGACAATTCTGTAAGAAAGGCTTATTATTACTCCTTTTTAGATAAAATCAAGTACACAGAAGTTAAATCAGCTGTGCATGGGCACAGATCTAATAACGGGCAGAATGAATATTTGGTCTCTGGTCTGAGTCCAAATCTCATGCATATTTCACTATTATTATGCTAACTCACAGTCTTGGCTGGAATCTTATTTAAACATGGTATGTCTAAATATGTAGAAAGTGGTTTCTAAACTTAGAGAAACTAATTATTATGAAAAAATTAAACAGAAATACTTAAAAATTAAAAGCACTTTTATATTCAACCATTTTACCAACAAATTAGACTCACTTGTCATCGATGCTATTCTGATAATATATATGCAAAAGTTTGTCCTTTATCCAGCTGACTTTCTCTGCAGCTTCCTTTCCTGCTTCACCATGAAGACAGTATTTCTTATAAAGCTGAGCCAGACCCATCATAGCTTCTTTTCTTACTCGCCACTAGAAAGTATAAAGTTTATTGGATAAGCTACATACCAAACTTTAGTATACAAATCTGCAAAAATTACCATTTCTTCACTAGGTTGCACAATGAGATTTATGTGTGCATAGATTAGCACAATATTAATTTTCAAAAAAGGCAGACAAATCACTTAACCAACAATTTTGATTATGTTCCTATTTAGAAATCATCCAGTGCAAATACTGCTAAATCACCTACCAATTTTTTATTTCCCTCAAAGCCAAGCAATAGTAAATCTTACAAAGATTTCATTAGATTCTGTCTAAAAAAAATTTGGCCAAGTTTTAGAAGTGATTAAAAAATAAAAGAGAAAGCGTATAATTCACTCTGCAAACAAAAGCCCTATCGTCTGGAATGTTTTGTCCTAGTTACATCCCTTTTGATATTAACTCAGAATAATAAGAGCAAAATTTAGTATCAAGATTTTAGAATTACAAAGTTGGAAAGCACCTTAGTGATCATCTTAAGTGAACTTCCTTACGTGGATTAAAAGGGCAAATTATTTACCTAGTCACATCCTAGTCCGTGAAAGATTCTTTGGGACTTAAAGAGATTGGAATGGTTTATGAGGAGGAAAGAAAGGTGGTGAGAGGAGAGTGGACAGAAAAGTAGACTATAAAAATCTAGAGTTAGAACAACAGTACGATGTAATAATAATCACAAGTTATTTGTCTCAATAACAAATCAGAGTATACTTATCTTTGGCTTATTTTTTAAAAAATATATTTATTTATTTTGTGGCTGCATTAGGTCTTCCTTGCTGCACGCGGGCTTTCCCTAGTTGTGGCAAGCGGGGGCTATTCTTGGTTGTGGTGCGTGGGTTCAGTAGTTGTGGCTCGCAGGCTCTAGAGCGCAGGCTCAATAGGTGTGGCGCACATGCTTAGCTGCTCCGCGGCATGTGGGATCTTCCCAGACCAGGGCTTGAACCCATGTCCCCTGCATTGGCAGGCAGATTCTCAACCACTGTGGCACCAGGGGAGTCCCATCTTTGGCTTGTTTAAGTTAATACTTTCTTATAATTTTTTAGTATAATTTTCTCATTTGTATGCTATTTGGTAGATGAAATGAAATTCTGTTCCCATATAACAGGTAACAGATGTCTTTTGACATGTCTAACATGAAACAAAAGAATGTAAGCCGTGAAATCAAAGATTTAAGTCCTGTCCCCACATTTTATAGAAAACAAAATTCAGAAAGGCTATACTCAAGGTCATTTAATTCATTACACCAAAAACCAGTTCCTAAAATGTACAGTAGGTGTTATTTGAATTATTAGACCATATCATACAGTCTCAGTTAGCAAGAATCATTTATTCAACTCTTCCTGAAACTATAAACAAACACTGACAGGAGTAGGAGTGAACTGTTTCTAAAAGGAGGAAGTAACACAAACGGCAATACCTGAAATCTGGTTTGGGAGTAGGGGGCAGGGGAGAGGGGGTAGTTAACAACTAACCAGTAGGGAGTGTCATTTCATTTAAATTAAAGCCAAGGGGAAAAAACTCTCAGAGTTAGAATTACTGACACAGTTGAACAAGTTAGACGGTGTCTACTTTATGTATCTGTTTCCTACGACTATTTCAAAAGAACTTAAGGAATGCATCTTGCTCCTAAGTGTCTATCGACAGATGAATGGATAAAGAAGATGTGGCACATATATACAATGGAATATTACTCAGCCATAAAAAGAAATGAAATTGAGTTATTTGTAGTGAGGTGGATGGACCTAGAGTCTGTCCTACAGAGTGAAGTAAGTCAGAAAGAGAAAAACAAATACCGTATGCTAGCACATTATATATGGAATCTAAAAAAAAACCAAAAAAGGTTCTGAAGAACCTAGGGGCAGGACAGGAATAAAGACACAGAGAATGGACTTGAGGACACGGGGAGGGGGAAGGGTAAGCTGGGACGAAGTGAGAGAGTGGCATGGACATATATACGCTACCAAATGTAAAACAGAGAGCTAGTGGGAAGCAGCCGCATGGCACAGAGAGATCAGCTCAGTGCTTTGTCTCCACCTAGAGGGGTGGGATAGGGAGGGTGGTGGGGAGACGCAAGACGGAGGTGATATGGGGATATATGTATATATATAGCTGATTCACTTTGTTATACAGCAGAAACTAACACAACAATGTAAAGCAATTATACGCCAATAAAGATGTTAAAAAAAAAGAATGCATCTTGCTATATCTCTATAGCAAGATACTGCTTTTCTACCCTGAAATTATAGCTAAATTACATTGGTTTCAAGAGGGTAGCAGATTTTCAACTATGCTTCAAATAAAATACCACACTGCAAAGGCAACCTTTGTTGAAGATGTTAATAAGTAACACATTTAATCAGCCTGCCTTGCCTGTGTATCTCTTACTCATGGTTGACACTTTCTTAGCAACTGCTACTACTGTTCTTAGTACTGCTTTTCTTTATCAACCCACGTTTTTAACTGCATCCACATGGAGGAAATTACACAAAAAGAATAGTAACTAAACATCATTTCGGCCCTTAGCTTAGCACAGCAATATGGAAACACCACTTCCACAGAAAGTATGATATTCTAAGACAGTTACTTTTGAAGATGCTAACTATAAAAGAAATAAATACTGGTGATCAATCACTATCCTTCTGAAACTCATCATGTAAGTGTAAAGGTAAAATAAAACTTTAATTTAGCTGCTCTTTTTGTAAAGGTAGGCTAAAAAACCCATGCCTAAGATCTGAAAAGCTACAGAATCCAATGTATTCATTTGTAAAGATAATTAAAAGATACACAGGAAACATACAAATTATTAGCTTTTTATTTGGTATTGTATTAGTTTGACTTTCACACAGAAAAACTTTAAATAGAAAATAATTTCTATTGTATTTTGCTAACAATGTAAACACAGTAAATTATAAAAGAATAAAATTCCTCAGATTTTACCCGTTTGTCCAGTGTTCTTTCTCTTACAAAGCCAAGTAGCTGATCATTTACTAAGGCAAGGTCTCTTTTGGCAGCTGTTATTATAGTAACAATGACATCATGACGAATAGCTTCTTCTGGATCATGTGATCTAACTTTCAAGTATTCTGAAATAGGAGAAAAAAGTAAGCTAAATGTTAGCTATAACATTCACTATGTTCAGAATGACAAAAAAAACCCTAATGCTTTTAAGTTTATGTCCATACTGGAACAATGATTGTAAAATGTGGCATAAATTAAAATTATTTAATTTTTCAGGTGGCAATACCCTACATAATAACAAAATAAACTATACCACACTATTTATTACTGTAAAGTCACATCTTAATAAAACATTTTATATCAACTATTCTGGAAAAGCCAAATCGGCACCTGAAATCAAATCAGCACCTGATTTAATACAGTTTAGAATTTAAGTTAACGATACATATTAAAAGACTTAAAATATAGTAAAAATGCTTATAGCAAGTTTGCTGATAGGTATATATCTTCACATTACGCAACATAAAATAACATTGTGACCTCTAAAAAAAATCCTAAATAACTACGATACAAATAAAGTTATTTCCTCTTTTTTGGTAAACAATATTTTGATAGCAGTTATTTATTTGTTACAACCAAGTAAGTAGGTTTAAATGCTCTACTTCAAGTGAAGAATGAGAAATTCTAGTCTACTTCAGAAGAAATCATTTTCCCACCTATTATTAGATATGTTACTATATTTAATTATCACACAGATATAATGATTTGTGCCCAAACCCAGAGTCATAAGGAAGAGTCTACTTCCTCAAACTATGATTTCCAGAAAATTCCAAAGGATTACAATGTGAAGATTTCAAATGTAATTTTACTGTATAAACATGAAATCCCTTACTAGTTGTCCATGACTGATAGAGACCTGAAAGAGTGCCAGAGTGAAACCTATTCAGAAACCGAAGTTAAAGTCAAAAGCCACAACTAAAATATATTTGTGTGATTACTCTCATACTTCAATAAACCAGCTACCTTACCTGTGAGATCCTTTGCTAAATCTGGGTGATTCATTAAACAGTGACTCGCAAATTTCACACTTTCTAATCTCACAGGAACGTGAATGTCATTGAATCTACATAGAAAAAGATTGCTAATATTAGTTGTAAGGCAAAATAACTATTTTCAAATAAGGTATATCAACGCTACGTAAATACCTATAAACAACAAGTTACTGATTATAAGATGTGTTGGTTTATTAAAATGACAGTTAACTTGGACTGAAGGAAGAATATAAAGTAAAAAGATACATAATTTCACAAGAATATTTTTTACAACAGGATTTTTTCACCATGCTAAAACAAAAACGGTATAAACACATCCCCCAACCCAAACTACCTTCACTGGAGAACCAAAAATTGGAGCTTAAAATTATGCTACAAAACAAAAAATAAATATTCAAAATGCACAAAATCTATTTGAAAGAAGTTAATAGGAGGAAAATACTAGAGGAATGTGAGGTAGAAAGCAAATCATATATGAGGCAGACCCAGAAATTCAAAGATAAGTACATAAAATACATGTGCCATATTGCCTCATAGCAAAAAAGTTTCATATGGCTGGGACCAACCTGTAACTGCTATTTTAGGTCTAATATATTTTAAGAACTTAATAATATGAAACTCAGTATGTCAATTCAGAACTGCATATAATAAGGATAAGCTGAGAAACTCTCAAGTTTTAAATTTATTGGGCAATTTAAAAACATATTAATTATGAATAATGTGATTTTTTTACCCCTTAATCTCCCTTACCCATTTGTTTCCTCTCCCAACCCTCTTCCCCTCTGGCAACCACCTGTTTGCTCTCCTTATCTATGACTCTGTTTCTGTTTTGTTATGTTTGGTCATTTGTTTTGTTTTTTAAATTCCATATGTAAATGAAATCACACAGTATTTGTCTTTCTCTGTTTGACTTATTACATTTAGCATAATACTCTCTAGATCCGTCCATGTTATCCCAAATTGCAAAATTTCATTCTTTTTTTATGGATGAGTAAAATTCCATTGTTCATGTATATACCACATCTACTTTATCCATTCATCTACTGACTGGGTACTTGGGTTGCTTCCATATCTTGGCTGTTATAAATAATGCCACAATGAACATAGAGCTAGTGCATGTATCTTTTCTGATTAGTGTTTTTATTTTCTTCAGACAAATAATAGTTCTATTTTTATTTTTCATCATTATTATTTTTTTTGGCCACACTGTGTGGCTTGTGGGATTTTAGTTCCCTGACCAGGGATTGAACCTGGGCCCTTGGCAGTGAGAGCATGAACCCTAACCACTGACTGCCAGAGAATTCCCAATAGTTCTATTTTTAAATGTTTGAGGAACCTCCATACTATTTCACATAGTGGCTGTACCAATTTACATTGCCACCAACAGTACACAGTTCTTTTCTCCACATTCTTGCCAACACTTGTTATTTGTTGTCTTTTTGGTAACAGTCTTCCTGACAGGTGTGAGGTGATATCTCACTGTGGTTTCGATTTGCATTTCCCTGATGATTAGTGATGTTGAGCATCTTTTCATGTGTCTGTTGACATCTGTATGTCTTCTATGGAAAAATGTGTATTCAGATCCTCTGCCCATTTTTAAATCAGGTTGACTTATGTATGAGTTCTTTGTATATTTTAGATATTAACCCCTTATCACATATATCATTTGCAAATATCTTCTCCCATTCAGCAGGTGGCCTTTTCATTTTGTTGATAGTTTTCTTTGCTGTGCAAAAGCTTTTTCGTTTGATGTAGTCCCATGTGTTTATTTTTGCTTTTGTTTCCCTTGCCTGAGGAGACACATCCAAAAGCATACTACTAAAACCAGTAAGTGTGTACTGTCTATGTTTTTTTCTAGAAGTTTAACACCTAGAAAACTTCTAGAAAAAAACACATAGTACATACTAGCATGTTTTGGACCATGATGTCTTCAGTCTCATGACTTATTTAAAAAATTTAAGACTCTGAACATTCTCAGATGTGAATTATTTATTCTAATGACATTATTTTAGCACACACAAAAAAGATTAAAACCTGTTATGTGGGTAAATAAGACAAAGCTTTCTTCATAAAGAATTTGTCTTACAATTTATTCTCCAATAAAGACAGCAACACAGGTACTAAAGACACAAACACATATCAAAGTTTTGATATGTGTGGTTTTAATCAAGTGCGCCACATTCACTAGCCTCCAAAATATAAAAGTTAGAATCCACAGAATTATGTTCTCTTACCGTCCAAGAAAACACTGCCACAGAGGACGATTCTGTGTTGCCAAATCGGAATCTTTAGAACCAAACAATTTAGCTAAAAGTCGAACAACAGCTAATCGCTCTTCTCCATCATTGCTCTAAGGGAAAAAAGAAAATAAATAAACCCTGAGGTTTATTCATCAGATTACAAAAAAATAACATGAAACATTTCTGAGAAGCTACAATTTCATTATTTCTGCTTAAAATGATAAGAACTTTAAAATATCATGTTCTCTCATTTACTGTGCAGAAGTTGACTTGATTCCATGTTAGATCATCAGGTTCTTTGCTCTTATTTCATACACTCCCAACTGTTAATATATGCCTACTTCACTGCTTGTTTGCAATCTGTACAGATGCTGTAGAAACATGAAGATAATCATTCAATTCTAACATTCCGTAAGAGTCCTAGAAAAAATTCTATAAAGGGAAGAGCTACAAATAATTCCTGCCCTAATCCTATAATTTGATCTCCAACATAAACCCACATCAATTAAGGTTTTGATACATGAAGTTTTAATCAAGGTTCCCCTGCTGACTGGAGCACATGATACTGAATAATGTCATGATTCAGGAAAACTCATTTTAATAGAAGAGCATGAATCTTAAGAGTACCTAAAAGGTCAGGTGAACTGAACACTACCAAAAATCAAAACTTGATGCCCCCCACCGGACCAGTGAACCGGCTTCGTCCCGTGCTTTGGACCTTGGGCCTCACTTCTCCTCCAGATGGACCCCAAGTGCTCCTGCCCCACTGGCGGCTCCTGCAGCTGCACTGGCTCCTGCACCTGCAAAGCCTGCACATGCACCTCCTGCAAGAAGAGCTGCTGCTCCTGCTGCCCCGTGGGCTGCGCCAAGTGTGCCCAGGGCTGCGTCTGCAAAGGGGCCTCGGACAAGTGAAGCTGCTGTGCCTGGTGTCGCGGAGAGCCTGCCCCGGGTGTCAAGAGAGCAACCAGGACAAACCTGCATTTTACCGTTTTTCACACAACTGGACCTGACGCTACATTCTTTTTTCTATGAAATATGTGAGTTGTAATAAAAGTTGTTGACTTAAACCAAAACAAAACTTAAAGTTATTTTTTGATAGAGGCCTATTTTCTTATCCTGAATCAATATACTCTATAAAAAGTGTTCTAGTTTTCACTAGTGATGTCATGTCTTAATATAAATTAAGTTATTCTGAAACCATATGGTGCATGAAACTTTTTAAAAGTCACATATTCACTAGGAAAAGAAAAGCAATAATGAAAAGCAGTTGCTAATTTGTAAAGTGTTCAAATATAATGTGTCTAAAGCAATACCAGCAAGTCAATAAAAAAAATATTTATGGGCAAAGGCAGTAAGTGAAAAAAGAAAAATGACTCCAGGATATCATCTTTTCCTTAAGAATGTCTCAACTCTCAGGGATAGGGGTTTTGTGGTTAAAATAGGCACACTTACTAAACAAAGATAAAAATGAAAATTCAAGCTTTAACACTTATAACTACAAAAATGATTTTCTTTCACAAAGTTTTTCGCAAGCAATGTGACTACAATGCAGATTAGTGCTGCCTTTTGGTAAGTAAGTCCAACTTAGTATCCAACATGATTTATTTTTTTAAAGAAAAATCAATCTATCCCTTAAATGTCAAACACTAGAAAAACTGGAAATTTTACTTTACTTGAAGGTGACTACTTTAGTAGCTTAGTGATTATTTCAAATGTGACATTTCACATCTATGTAATTTAACTACTGAAATAAAATTAAATGAAAACTCGCTCCCACCCCCTGCCTTCTTTTTCTTTTTAATTTAAATTCTTGGCTGCACTGGGTCTTCGTTGCGCACGGGCTTTCTCTAGTTGCGGAGAGGGGAGGCTACTCTTCCTTGCGGTGCACGGGCTTCTCATTGTGATGGCTTCTCTTGTTGCAGAACACGGGCTCTAGGCACACAGGCTTCAGTAGTTGTGGCTCGCAGGCTCTAGAGCACAGGTTCGGTAGTTGTGGCACACGGGCTTTGTTGCTCCGCGGCATGTGGGATCTTCCCGGACCAGGGCTTGAACCTGTGTCCCCTGCATTGGCAGGCAGACTCTCAACCACTGCGCCACCAGGGAAGCCACCCCCTGCCTTTTTGAATTTTTAAATATGTTCTCTGAGTGAGGTTGGAATATGATGATAGTGCTGGTAATTTTTTTCTGGTGCAAAAATCATTTGGTGTCTCTGATGTACAGCTGTTATTAGTAATCTATACCAAAGTGAAAATTATCTCATTAAGATATTACCTAATACATTGTTTGAATACAAATATATATATATATATATATATAATGTTAATTAAAATAATGGGTAAAATGAGAAATTCTGCATTAGTAATTTACCAGTGACTTTCTGAAAGAAATTCAAATGGCCACCTAGTTTTTATTTTTCTTCAACCTTAGTTGAAAAAGGTAACCACTCTGTTACTGCTTCTAATTACAAAGTAATTGATTCAGAACAATTCTCTGTAAAAATTTTCTAAAACCAAAATAAAGCAATTATGACTGTTTTATGTTTTAAATTGGTGAATAAATGTAAATGTCTATCTCTGCCTAACATGAAAAAAGTCTTATATATAAAATGTGGCAAATTTTCTGACTATAGCAAAGCTGCTAAGTAGCACAACTCCAGAGTATCCCTTAAAACATAAGCGATAATAGCACTATGGACCCACACAGTGGACAGTGTATACAGTTGCATGCAGTGGCCCAGTATAAAGCAAAATCAAACAAACTGTTATGTTGAAGCATTTTCTCAAGTATTTTTATTGTTCTCAGAGGACTGTAACCTAGGACTTTTAACTATAAAAAGCTGTAGCTATATGATTCAGGGATATAACTACAGAAAATCGCCACAGCTATAAAAACTTCCTAGGCTATCTGCTTAGCACACACTGGTGACTCCAAAGGGGGCACCCTAATTATATATAGATAGTACCTAAACTACTCTGAACCTCACGAGCCACAACTACTGAGCCCACGCACCACAACTACTGAAGCCTACGCACCCTAGAGCCTGTGCTCAGCAACAAGAGAAGCCACCACAATGAGAAGCCCACGCACCACAACAAAGAGTAGCTCCTGCTCAATGCAACTAGAGAAAGCCCACGTGCATAACTGAATCACTTTGCTGTACACCTGAAACTATCAACTATATGTTGACAGTTTGATCAACAAACTATCAACACTGCTAACCAACTATACTCCAATATAAAATAAAAAGTTTAAAAAATGCATACCTTAACTAAATATAAGAAGGTAAACTGAACTCACATTTTATTCTTTTACAGTTAGAGAAAAACAATATGATATATATTTTTCTCTTAAATGTTAAAGGGCTTAGAAATTATAGTCAGTCCTACCTTCAGTTTGAATTCAAGCTGCGGCATGACAGATAATAATAAATGAGGATCTATAGCAAAAAGTTCCTGAATCAGATCAAATACATGTTCTGACAAATCACTTACTGATGATCTTCCCAGCACCAGGACTTGATTGAAAAACTACAGGAGATAAACATAAAAATAAAATATCCGTTTCATTTAAAAACTTAGATAGGTTTTTTTATAAACATGTTAAAAGAAAACGATATAATTAGGCATTCCATATACAAGTGAAGGCGGTGAAAAAGAACAGATGTTTAAATTACTAATATATATGATAGGACAGTCCACCAAAACAGAAGAAATAAACCTCTAAATATCATCAAATTATGAATGTTACATGAAAGAGATAAAAAGTAATTGAGTTGTTAGCTTTCTTTCAAATTAGGATGACAATTCTAGGAATCTTAACTTTCATTAAAACAAAACAATTTAGATAGTTTATGTAATTCATTATAGAGAATTTTATTGAGAAATTTCCTTTTATAGCACAGAAAATTTTTAAAAGTCTTAATCTTTTGAATTTTTATTTAAGTTTGAGGATTCTCTCTATTAGTTTAGTAATAAAGAATAATTGAAGGTGGAGGATGAGTTGTTTGGTTTTTTTTTAAATACCCAGAAAGTCAAAAACACTGTAACTCAGAGGACAAAGAGAAGGAAAATGTGATGATACAAAGGCTGATAATTTAAAAGAATTCTAGGAAAAAGAAAGAGAGAGAATATAAAAGCACATATTAAAAGATACCTCCACTCCTTGCTAACACACATAAACTTAGAAAAAAAATTAAATGTAAAAATGCTACAGAGGCAGCTGTATGCAACCGATTTGAGCATATGTTTTTGGTAGTATCATCAAATGATATATTTCTTTTGAAAAGCAACACACATTAAGAGTTAGAAAACATTAATATTTATTACACAGACCTTGCAAAGAGTAAGGAAAATAGTTTTAACAAAACTAAAAAGTACACATGCACACACAAATAAGCACAGAACACAAATTCTGAAAGGATACATGAAAATCTATTGGTGATGCCTATTTCTGAGAATTAAGAATAGAGTATTCAGGGTTTGAAGAGACAATTTTCACTGTATACCTTTTGTACTACTTGAGAAAACATTTTTTTTTACCACGTTTAAGTATTTATTTAGTAATATAAATAATACTAATAATTCATACCATTTAAATTAACAGACTCTCACTTGGGTTTTTATATGTAGAAAATAATTAAACAATAGAGAAATGCTACAAAGACAGTTACTAAAGATAGTTACTAAAGGAAAACACTGAAAAAATATAAATGTGAGGCAAGAGGGAAATGATTAGGTAAATTATATGTGAATTCAAAGGAACATTTATAGTCATTCTTATCATAAATAAAAAAATCAAAATATGGAAATACATGTATAAATGAAGACAATTCAAAGTTTTATATATGAAAAAAATAGGTAGGAGTTTGAGCAAATGTTCAATAATGAAATTGCTACATTAAGGTAGTAGAATTATAATTTTTTTTCCAAATTACTTCATTGATTTTTTAAAGAACAAAAAGAAAACGAAAAAACTTCTATTCAATAAAGTAAAAAAAAAAATTTATTACTCTATAACAATTATTTAAGAAAGCAAACCAAAAAGGTTCAGAAGAATGGCCTAGAGACATGAAGAAGAAAATAGAGAGAGACCCACAGATAAAGATGAAAGGAGAAAGTGAAAGAGGTCAGCATATCCAGGAGATAAAAAGATAAACACAAAGGCAGTAGAAAAAAGAGTAGAAACTGTAAACAAATTTTCATAAAATAACATCCTCCCATCTTATGCCATTTAAAAATAATGTCTATAGCTTACAAAGTTATGCTGCATTTAGTTACATTTAGACATATCAGTTTTTTATATATTTCTTATAAAAAGATGAAACTGTTTACAGGCTAAATAAGCCTTTATGTGAAAGGTTTCAATAAATTAGTACAATGGATTAAGAACTATAGAATTATGAAAAAAAATATAGGCAGAAATACATACATTGGCAATGCATGCCTCAATAGTCTGGACTGTCCTTTTCAATAGGACTTTTGCGAGGTCAAAGGACTGTTTATTTAAGTTCTGAAACACAATAAAAATATGCAAAGTTACAAATGAATCAGTGAATTTATGATCTAGATAGCAACACTAGAACACCAATGTCTTCAAGTCCACAAAATATGAAGCAAAAAATATAACTGAACTCCATTCAGTTAAATGGTAAATTGGTAAACTCCATTTACCCAATATCTGCTAGTCAAGTGGTCATAAATGCAGAAGTTGCAAATAGCATAACCATGAATCAAAAACTAAAATACATTAGATAATTAGCCAAAAGCCCAACCCTATATTAAGTTTAGTTTTACTTAACTTAAATTGGACCTAAGGCTTTTTGGTTTTGTTTGTTAACCAATTTGAACTGGCAATCACACCCATGCATCCTAAACAAATACACACACACGCACGCACGCACGCACACACCCCTTTCGAACCCACTATCCTCAGTATTTCACCGTCTAATTAACGTCTGTTCTGAGCAAGAGTGGACCTGGTAAGTGTTTCTGGTAAAATTCTCAGCCAATTATGTTTTTAAAACGCCAAATACTGTCTTCACTCCTCAAGATTCCCAATGCATGGTAACAAATTAAAGGGTCTGAGGAAGCCTATAGAAAAGACATATATTTAATTTTTAAAAACTTACTGAAAATGGAATTCTTGTGTTGAAGAGTACCCATTAACATCTCCACACTTTGCAGTTTTAGACCAACCTGAGATTCACTGACCATCATCTCGCACCTATCCCCCAAAAAGGCAAGGACATCCTATACTCTAGGTTAGTAGTCAGCAAACTTTTTATGCAAAGAGCCAGATGGTAAATAGTTTAGGCTTTATTAGCCAGCCTTATCGTCACCACTGCAACTACACAACTCTGGCTGTTGTAGCAGGAAGCAACCACGGACAAAATGAAAACAAATAAGCATGGCTGTTTTCAAATAAAACTTTTACATAAATAGGCAGTGGGTAGGATTTGGTCTACAAACTGTAGATTCCTGACACTTGCTCCAGGTTTTTATTCCATTGGCAAGAGGATAAGATTATCTCAAAATTAAGGCAACCTTGGAGGAAACAAATAGGTGAGGGAGATTAAGATACAAACTTCCACGTGAAAAATCAATGAGTCACAGATATGAAATGCACAGAGTGAGGAACATAAGTCAATAACTATGTAATATCTTTATATGCTGATATATTGTAACTAGATTTAGGTGAGCATTTTGAAACGTATAGAAATATTGTGTAACAGGAATTAACATAGTGTTATGTAGGTCAATAACAAAAAAAGAGATCAGATTTGTAGTTATGGCAGGGGGTGGGGGGGCAGAATTGGATGAAGGCATTCAAAAGGTACTTCCAGCTATGAGGTAATAAGCACTAGGGATATAATGTACAACATGATAAATCTAATTAACACTGCTGTATGTTATATATGAAACTTGTTAAGAGAGTTAAGACATTTCATCCACAAGAAAAAAATTTTTTTCCTATTTCTTTAATTTTATATCTGTGAGATGATGGATGTTCACTAAACATTTTATAATGTTTAAATTAAATGAAATAAATCATTTCATAATATAAGTCAAGTCATTATGCTGTATACCTTAAACTTATACAGTGCTGTATGTCACTTATAACTCGATAAAACTGGAAGAAAAAAATTAAGGCAACCTATTTCCTAAAAAGGTATATTTCCTACTCATTAAAAATAACCTCTAACTAGAATACAAACACCAAATACACTATTCCTCAAAAAGTTTTTCCTTTATTTTGCCTGACATATACTCCCCCTATGCCATACTCTCAAAATTTTGACCAATTACAGACTCATTTGAATTAAAAAAATGCAAATAATATATAGTGAGTAAGGAGAAAAATTTATAATTGACTGCATCTTATAGTGAGTAAGTATCATTAGATACATCTTCATTTAACATCTGATAATAGGTCACTGAACAGTCAGAGGAAAAGGGCAGAAGACTAAATATCAACAGTGGGGTAGGCCTGAGTCCACCCCAGAGGGGAAGCTGGTAGGGAGCTAAGTCCTTCAGTTTCTTAGGGGGAGCTAGCAGAGAGAAACAGAAAAGGAAATGGAGAGGAATATACAGCTCTGAATCATCCTTTTCCCCTTAACATTAACCACATAGTTCCCACTTCTGCCTAAATCTTTTTCTGAAAGTGCCTAAGAAAAATGTAGGACATGGGTTCTGAGAAGAAATACAAATTCCTACACTCTACATCTACATTACAAAAGAATAAATATATTTTCTTTTCCAAAACAAACAAACAGCAACTAACCAAGACAGTACTCCAATCCCTTGTAATTTCTAGATTAGATATGAGTGGTCAATCAATCTGGAACATTTTTAGTTTTCCAGAGAATAGGCAGCACTTAACTGAATGAAAATCTTCCATAATATATTAATCAATATATCTTCTAAAGATAACAATAGCTATAAGACCAATATGTGTTACTCTATTTTATTTGGGGCTGGAGAATGATAATGGGAATAATTACATGGGATTGCAAATGGTGAAAAACAATTATTTTTCATATGTGTAGTACTACCATTAAATATTAACCTTTAATATCTTCATACTATACAGACCTTATGTGCAGGAATGAGGTTAATAAGAATGGAGTCCAATAATTCTTGAGTAACTCCATCACCTTCCATGATGATAGAACTCATCAAGTCTAGCATGTGCATTTGTACCTTCCTATTGTGGCTATTGCTTTAAAAAAAGAGGAAGAAAAAAAAGAAAAAACAATTAGGCTTACAAAAGAAAATTAAAACTTCCCAGTTTAAAACAACTATCTCAAATGTAAAAGGATTTTCACCTGGTTGAGGGAACCATGCCAGTAATGGCAAAGAAACTTTGGCTGCTCTATATTTACTTTCTCCCTTTGTTGATTATTAAAACAGCTACTAAGATATCATTGTAAAGTATTTTACAAAAACAAAAACCTTTAAATTTAATTAAGCCCCTATACAATTAGAATTCAAAGAGTGAGTTAAATTCAACTAAACAAAAATGTCAACTTCAAAGAAAGGACATCTTTGCTTATATGCCCCTGGATTTTAAAAGGTGATAAAATTTTAAGTAAGGAAACAAAAAAAATGTACAAGATAATGAAGGTAGGCAGTTTTTCATCCTTTTTATCCTTTTTGATCTTAATAATTCCTCCAAATAAGGCAGAACTATAAACACACAAAAAAGCCTAAGTCAACACTCCTATATTTTTGCCGTTGGACTTTTTAGTTCAACCATACTGAAAACCCAAAGTATGATATAAAATGCTTACCAGAACTTATAACTAGAAGGTTCTGAAAATGTCATCCTGCTATCTCTCAAAGAATTTCAAACGAATGAAAAATCAACGAGGTAAAAAGCCAAGAATCAGTTTCAGTCCTGCTTCCTTAGCCAGTATAGAGTCAATGTGGACCTCCTCAATAAATATCTCTACTGCTGATACAAACTTACCCCAAAAAATTGGCTACAAAATTGTTATAAATTAGTAGAGCATCTAGGTTTCTCCCTCTCTGACTGCATCTTAAATAAAGACTTGACCTATCCATTTTCACATTTATCAGAATACATATGCAAAGACAAATCAAGATAATATAACTTAGTTGTACTACTACAGACACAGGGAAGTTTAAATTAAGATTAAACTAAATGTTATTTCATTTATGTATTTCTTACCTATAATTTTTAAAAAATTAGTTTGAAATAATGTATAATACACCTGTTGGACACTTAGTTGTAAAATCAAAGATGAAAAAATTTATAAAGTTGGCAGAAAAATTGTCCCATCGTTAGAGACACAGTTTTCTACAAGGCAGAAAAATACCCCTTTTAGAAAGATACCCCTCTTGCATATCCTCTCTTAAATATCTTGTTTACTACAGGCCAAGATTGTGAAAGATCAATTATATAGTGGGATGTGTGTGTGTGGTAGGGGGTGAAGAAGAACAGATATTCAGCTTGATGCAAAAGAATGAAGAGAGTATATAGCTCTCAGATCCATATGCACTTGAGGATAGGAAAGGAGTGAAGGAAAGATAAATGAAAAATGGACTTAAAAATTATTTCCACAAGTTCCAGCCCAAGCTTCAATAATAGGGGTAACATTTACTCTCCTACTTGAACAACTAAAAAACTGGACAGAATATAAGAAATAACAGTTTTCAGACATTATACACATGCTGCTGAAACAAGGGAACAATTTTCGCAGCTTACTTTTCCTACTTGGTAAAGTTTCCAGGCTTCAGTATGGGAAGAGAAGATACTAGCAGAGTCTAATGGTTTTCCTGAGTCTGGGGTGACTATAGCTTGCAGGGCAGAATACCAGAGGGGAGAGAGCTACTCAGAGAGCAAGCTCACAGAGGGTACCCCCCTGCCCGAGTCTTCAGGTGCTTAGTGATCAGCACACGCAGGTGAGGAAATTTCTTGAGTTTGGGGAAGGTACCACCTGAAAGGCGTGGAGGGAATAATTTCCGGAATTCACACAGGTCTTAACAATGTGCATGTTCCAACTACAGTGGAAAATCTTATAACTTACAGGGCATCTAATAGAGTAATCAGAAGGGTAAACCCACATATCCTCTATGAGCTCCACCCACAATGGGACATCAAAATCAAACTGTTTAAAACCAGTAATAGAGAAAATCTTAGGTGGGTAGAGAAAAAGAAGATACATTATTTACAGAGGAACAAAGATTTAAAATGACAAAACTTATCATTAGAAACAATGCAAGCCAGAGAAAGATGCAGGAAACATCTTTAACAGTACTGAAAGAGAAAAAAAAAAGTCTATTAACCTGAAATTCATACCATGAAAATAACTTTGAAAAATGAAGGTGGAATAAAAGACTTTTTCAGACATATAAAAACTGAAAGAATTCTATCAACAGTAGCCCTGAACTATAGGAAATGTTAAAGGAAGTCCCTCAGAGTAAAGTAAAATAATACCAGGTGGAAATCTGCATATATGCGAAGGAATGAAGAATACCAGATATATGGTGAATGTGTCAGTAAATACAAATCAATAAACTCTATCAAAAGGCAAGTCCTTTATTTACTGATACCTCATTGTGAATTCTTTCAATTAGATAATTAGGTAAACAATAAACTTAGATCTTCAGAGTCAGTAAAGAAAAATATTGATAGGATTGTACGTAAAAGTAATAGAGGAAAGAAGTATAACTGCAGAGTGGGAAGCGGACTTAAGTGGATAACCAAGGTCACAAAATGGGCAGAATGACAAGTCAGGCATTTTTTTTTTTCCATTTTGTTGGTGATTTTAATATTAAAAGAAAAAACTGCAAATATGTGGTAGAGTGCAAACAATGGCCACAAACTGTTCCCATCTCTTATGCACAAGCCTTTAAAACGCTGCTCTGTCCAACAAAATATGGAGTCTATCTAACCAACCTTTGCATCTGGGCTTGCCTATGAACCTTGCTTGGCCAATGAAATATAAGTAAACATGAAGTATGCAGAGGTCTTAAAAAGTGCTTGTGTGGTGGGGTGTGCCCTTCTTGCTACATTTGAAACCCAGTCAGCATAAGAAGAGGTCTGAACTAGCCTGCTGGATGACAAGAGAGTGACACGTGACCCAGTTGTCCTATTACCTCAGCCAACTGCCAGATGTCCTGCTAACTGACTGCAAATACAGGAGCAAGTCCAGCCCAGAGAGAAAGAACTGACAAGCAGAATCATGAGCAAAATAAAATGGAATCTGTTTTAAACTACCAAGTTGTGGGTTACTTTGTTATGCAGCAAAAGCTAAGTAACACAAAGGTAAAGTTTATACATTTTATCTTTTATTTAAGGGCCTTCAGTTAGTTGCCACAGGAAGCTTTTTCTCATGCAGTTTTTTTATAAGCTTCTATCACTAGACCAGGTTGGTCCAGTCCTTTCCTGTTTATTTCTGGTTAATTCTCTTCCTACCATTCTATCTAAGGAAAAGAAAAATATGTTAAAGTATTCATAAGAAATCTACAGAAAACTTTAGAAATGTGCTGTCCAATACAGAAGCTGTTATCCAACAGCCACTTGGCTACTGAAGATAAAGTCTGAATAGAGAGCCTTATGTTGAAATAATAATGCTTTTGGATAACATGAAATAAATAAAGTATATTATTATTATTATATATATATATATATATTTTTTTTTTTTTTTTTTTTTTTGCGGTACGCAGGCCTCTCACCGCTGTGGCCTCTCCCGTTGCGGAGCACAGGCTCCGGACGCGCAGGCTCAGCGGCCATGGCTCACGGGCCCAGCCGCTCTGCGGCATGTGGGTGGAATCTTCCTGGACCAGGGCACGAACCCGTGTCCCCTGCATCGGCAGGCGGACTCTCAACCACTGCGCCACCAGGGAAACCCAAGTATATTATTTAAATAAATTTCACTTGTCACACACACACACACACACACACACACACACACACCAGAATGAAACACTGGATTGAAATCAGTTTTGGCTCTCCTGTTCAGCAATTTGTGCCCCGGCAAGCCACCAAACTCCTCTGTACATGAATGTCCCTATTTCTATAAGGAAAGAGCAATGCTTACGATTTTTTAAAATGAGAAGATATCAAAGTCAGTATACTTAACCGCTGAGCTATTATGCCTCCCAGTACTCACTAATGATACTTACAATACTTAAAATTTCCACCTCATCAGTTAGTACTTCATTATATAAGGTCTCATACCGCTTGCTTTACAAGAGTCAACCTATACAATTGATACCATTATTTAAAATGGTAATATAAGGACAAAGGCAGGTTTCAGACAACAGAATTTATTTTCCTTTTTATGTTAACTCTTCTAAGGAAAACATTTCCTTTTAACTAAAAGATCTTAGTGTAAATGCACAGTACATGATACTTTAATACACAGAGCAAGAAAAAGAGACAGAGATGCTTAAAAAATAACTTACTTGATCACTGAGAAGAGAGTCCTAAAAAGCTGAATAAAAATTTCATTGCAATCTTCCAATTCAAAGCAGATGTTATATGATTTAACCCAAGCTAAATTCTTAAATAAATAAATAAATAAAATTATTTACACATACATAAAAGTTACACAAAAGCAAGCTCATTAATAAAATTTAATTTTTAGAATTATAAATCTATAGTAAAACTTATAATGGCCCAACATATAAAATTACAATTGTTTAAACAGTCGTACTCTGATCTTTAAAAAGACGTATCTGCTGGTATTAACCTTCTCTAATTGAAAAATACTGTCAGAGGCTAGTAACACATATATACGTACAAAATATAGGGCACAGTGAAAATTAATTCAACTTAATCTCTTTTGGGATTAGAAAAGAATAAAAACAGAAATATAAAAATAAAGTTTCAAATAATATAACAGCTTTGCCAGTGGAATATGCTTTATCTTTTCAGGATATAAGGAGCAAAAAAAAAAGATTGTAAATGACATTTTCTTAAGTGGGCTTAGTATAAAACAAACAAACAAAAGATTCATTTTACATTATAAAGTTACTATAAAGAATTTTCTACAACATGAAATAATGTGATATTTATTAAATAAAATTTGTTTACCTCTAATAAATAAAAGTATCTATGAAACTGCGGGCTCCTTGTATCCTCCAAACCCTTTAATTGTCTGGTAATAAACAAAAATATGTCCTGTTTTAAAAAATGATAAAACATATTAATTTAGATACAAATACTTGTCACATTCACAATACACTAATAGTCTACAATATATATTCTCCATTATAGACAATAAAAGAAAATTCTCCTTTAGCCAATGACTTGGGACTGGCCTAGTCCATTACTTAAAATATCTGGAAAACAGCAAATCACCTAAAGTTACATTCTTTAGAAGCAAAAATAAAGATTATTACTGCCGCAAATCTTTAGGCTTTCTCATTCTGAAAGGACCATAGGTTCTATATCTTGCTACCCTTCTAGTACAGAACTTTATTCACTATCTTCATCTTGTATTATGGCAGTTATCTTCAGTTTAAGTACCTGGATATGAGTCTCCCATTATAATTTCCCAAATTAAATAGTAATTTTCAGTACCTAGTTTTGAATTTGATGAGTGACTACAAAGTTGTGTGGAACAAAAGCAATAATAGACTGGTCCAAGGGTTGTACTTTCCACAACAATAGTGCTCCATTTCTTAATAAGCTTTCTTTAGAAGTTTTAACCCCAAATAGTATCAGTATGGAACAAACTGATTTTAGGACTATTTAAAAGAAAGCAATCCAAAGGATTAAAGTATAAAAGTATTCAAAATACGAAATCAGCTCAAGAGATCAACTCAAAAGAGGAGTTCCTCAAACATTTCTAACAAAGGCAGAACCATCAAGATGATCATACAGTTTTGCATATAATATAACTTGCAGGGGAAAACAGTCATTTGAATGTGTAAATTCTGTTATATAGTTGTTTTGAAAAGTGTCATTCATCCACCATCCCCCCTTCAATTCAGCCATCTGGGCTTTCAGATGGATATTCCTGAAGGTTAGATATGAGCAGACAGGGACTAGTTTTGATCCATACCTTTTAATGCCACATAAAAATACCAATCATTTTTGTGGATACTCAATATTAATTGAATGAATAATTAATTAGTTTTAGAACTTATGATATAATCTTCTTACGGTCACAGGATGATTAAAATGAAACCTATGTTCCTAAGGGTAGTAAGCTAAACTATAAAAGTAAACCAATTTTGTAAAGATTGTATTTACCTTAAGTTTATCGTGGGAAGTATATGGAGCTTCTGGGGCATAGATTCTAAAGATGTCAGCCAAACAGCATGCTACAAGGAGACGCACATCTTTATTGGGATTCCTGAGAAAAAATTCAGATGCTAGATGCAAGGCTAGTGGGAGATACTGCTGTTTTTCATCTTCTGAATCCTGATCCATATCCATAAAAGTTTTGACTACCATCTGCAAAAATATATAGAAGAAAAATATAATCAACTCTTGATATTTAGAAACCAGTGGAGTATATATATTTAATCATCTCCATTACAACACAGACTAGCAATCAGTTACCATCAGAGGATTCACAATCAATTTTTGTACATCTTCATTTAAGAATTCGAGTAAAGATTCCAAGCGTGAACAAATGCCAACTTTTGGATTACTGATAGATACATTATCTGCATTTGTACCAGGTTTACGAAGAACTAAAGACTCTCGTTATTATATTATATCTAGCCCCAGGTAAAAAGTTCATGGCTTCATATGGATAAGCAAATCATTTGTTATTTTGCAACCTCATCAATTATGTTTCTTGTACATTTTATCATCAAAGCTGCCTTGATTTAGGCTCCTTAAAACTATTTCATTTCACACTTTAATGGGTTTTGCAATTCACAATAGAAAGCCATGTTTAAATATTTTTATGTAGTTGTACTTCTGATTAAAAGCCTTAATTATAAAATAACCTCTGTTCTTATTTATGGTTTCAAAATTAACAAATGCACATTTTAGAATCACTCTAAAAGGCAAAAAAGGTATAATGAAAAAATCCATAATTTCTCAACCCCAGAAAATAACCACTATTTATGTTTTTGTGTATTTTATGCTGGTCTGTTTTCTCTGTAAAGATGCAAATAACCATATAGTCATTCCTTATTCATTTATCCAATCATGATTATTTCCTCATGCCATCAAAATTCTTCTTTAAATAAATCAGACTTCACCTAACCAGTCACCATTCTCAAATATTGAAGGTGTACTTCTATTTCTATTTTGACAAGACTTTTTATCGTAAGTGCTGGGTTTTTTCAAATACTTTTTTCTGTGTCTACTGAAGTGATGTTTTCCACCTAATTCTGTTATGAGAGTAAATCCCACTGACTGGTTTTCTAATTATAATCCAATTTTAATGTATAACATACACTGTCCTAAAATATAGACAGGTATAGTATGAATGACCTAACCTGGAAAAAACAACACAGATGAGGATGACTGTAAATCACTATTCCTTATGAGCCTAAATACAAATGTCAGGAATGGCATCTTAAAGAACTGAATTCGGTGATTTTATTATAAATGGCTTTGTGCTCATACAGAGCTTGGGGGTGGGGAAGGAGGAAGGGAACAGTAAAAGTGGAAACAGTCAACATCTGGAGAATACAGGAGCTCTCTACTATTCTTGCAACTTTTCCAAGTCAGCAATTATATCAAAAGTCAAAATTAAAAAAGAACACATTTACCACATGATATGGGACAAACATACATATATTAATAGTTGAAATGAAAGTTCACCAAATAAGACTTGTCTTTTAAAAATTTTTTTAACAAATAATGTTAAATATTAATCGGGGGTGGGGAAGATGTATTATTCTTTTTCTGATTTTAATATATAAAATCTTCTGATTTTCTGATTTTATCTGTGCATCACTAGTTTGATATAGAGATGTTAATAATATGGAAATAAAATCACATTTATAAAGTATTCTAATTCTACTTTAAAACCTTTTAAATCAGAAATGCATATGGCATAGTGATTTACAGTCATCTACATCTGTGTTGTTTTTCCCAGGTTAAGCCATTCATATTATACTTGTCTATATTTTATGACAATGTGTGTGGTGCATTCCCTTCTGAAAGTTTTGAATCCTAGCGAATTCCCAAGGACCAGATGTTCTTTTTAAAATTATTATTTATTACACTACTATTACTTCATCCAGAGCTTTATTTCTTTTAACATGTTTTGAAATATTTGTGTTTATTCCACTTGTTTTTAACATTAACATATAACTGAGAAAAATGTTTTCCAGTTTTAGAAGTCATTTGTTTCTTTCACCTAACTCTTGTCAGGAAAAGAATTTTTATCTGTTTTGTTAACAGTTGTATCCTCAATGACTAGAACACGACTGGCACATAGTAAGCTTGCAAACTTTTTTTTTGAAAGAACATTAAAATTCATGACCCGGAGCAAACCACGATTTGAAAAGATACATGCACCCCAATGTTTACTGCAGCATTGTTTACAATAGACATGGAAGCAACCTAAATGCCATTGACAGAGGAATGGATAAAGAAATGTGGTACATATATACAATGGAATAATACTCAGCCACAAAAAAAGAATAAAATAATACCATTTGCAGCAACACAGATGGACCGAGACTGTCATACTGAGTGAAGTCAGATGCAGAAAGACAAATATCATATGATTATCACTTATATGTGGAATCTAAAAAAATGGTACAAATGAACTTATCTACAAAACAGAAATAGAGTCACAGATGTAGAAAACAATCTTATAGTTACCAGGGGGGAAAGGCGGAGAATGATAAATTGGGAGATTGGGATTGACATATACACACTACTATATATAAAACAGATAACTAGTAAGGACCCACTGTGTAGCACAAGGAACTCTACTCAATACTCTGTAATGACCTATATGGGAACAGAATCTAAAAAAAGAGTGGATATATGTAATATGTGTAACTGATTCACTTTGCTATACAACAGAAACACAACATTGTAAATCAACTATACTCCAATTAAAATAAAAAAACCAAAGCAACAAAGTAAAATGTTAAGATTTGATAAAGGTGAGTGGTAGGTACATAAATGTTTGTCTTATTATTCCCTATGAATGTCTGAAATATTACAAAATTATAAGGACGCAATTTGATTAGGTAAAACGAACTTTTGTTTTTAAGGTTTGGGGTGCAAGTTTCCAATATGACTTGAGCTACTTGGGAGGTTTTCCAGAACAGCTGTTTCAACCATGTTCCAACTTTGAGGTTCCTAGTAGCCCTGGTAGAGGCAACAAGACAGCCAAAAGGAGTGGTGTGACGGGCACATGCCCAGGGTCTCTCAGTTGCTTGCCTCTGAGCAGCTGGCTTTTCATTAGCTTTATATATTGACCTTCTGTATTTGGGCAGTACAATACCTTAAGACTAAAATAAGTTTGTAAACCATTGCTACCCCTCATAAAAGCTAGGAAGCTTTGCGTGGGGGAGGATTGGGAGTTTGGGATTAGCAGATGCAAACTAGTTTATATAGAATGGATCAACAACAAGGTCCTACTGTATAGCACAGGGAGCTATATTCAATATCCTGTGATAAACCATAATGGAAAAGAATATGAAAAAGTATATGTATAACTGAATCACTTTGCTGTACAGCAGAAATTAACACAACACTGTAAATCAACTATACTTCAATAAAATTTTTTTAAATTCATGAAATGTCTTTTTAACATCTACTCTGATAATATATATCATGTATATTTTTAAAAATATGATCCATATGTCCCTACCATTCTGGCAAAAAACTTCATCAGTTCTAGACAATCAGTATATTATGTCTGTTGCTCGAAATTTGTTTAGAATTTTTAAGTAAATATAGTCTAAACATAGGTCTATAGCAGGGGTCACAACTCAAGGGGAGGGAAATGGAAATAACCACTTGGGAGAAATGGAGAGCACATGCCCCATCCAAAGACAAGAGCTGGTTTCAGCTAATTGTTGCCAGGTGAGAATGCAGACCTAGTACTGCAAAATCATTCAGTTGATCAGGACACAATAAAAGGTTAAGTGAAATCATCCGACTTGAGAATTTCAGCAACTCCAAAAAGTTCATACCATTGTGAGGGACAAGCAAAACGTGTCTATGTGGTCCCCAAATCAGCAATTTACAAATTGTTAGAAATATTTCAAAGGAAAAATGTCAGCACAGTCAACTTTTCAGGTAGACAAATTATTCTGAAAAGCTGTTTTGCCATTTCTTTTATACTTAGTTTTCTTTAATTAGTTATAAAAGATTATGAAGAAAATATTCAATAAACTGAACATCATTAAAATCCAGAGAGCCTTCAAAATGTTAATGAGGATTTTTATAGCACATACTCCTAAACCATACCACAGAAAATATCAATAACATTTTCCAAGCCCAAAAGTAATGGTAAAAACAGACCACTTTAGAACCTACCAAAAAAAATTAATTCCCAGTGGGATAAAAATCAAAATTTGAAAGGGACATCTAAGAAAGTTTTTAAAAATTAAGAGGGGGACTTCCCTGGTGGCGCAGTGGTTAAGAATCCGCCTGCCAATGCAGGGGTCACAGGTTCATTCCCTGGTCCGGGAAGATCCCATATGCTGCGGAACAACTAAGCCCATGCACCACAACTACTAAGCCTGAGCTGTAGAGTCCACGAGCCACAACTACTGAGCCCGTGTGCCACACCTACTGAAGCCCGCGCCCCTAGAGCCCACGGTCCACAACAAGAGAAGCCACCGCAATGAGAAGCCCGTGCACCACAAGGAAGAATAGCCCCCACTCTCCGCAACTTGAGAAAGCCTGTGCACAGCAGCAAAGACCCAACGCAGCCAAAAATAAATAAATAAATTCATAATAAGAGGGACTTCCCTGGTGGCACATTGGTTAAGAATCTGCCTGCCAATGCAGGGGACACAGGTTCCAGCCCTGGTCCAGGAAGATCCCACATGCCGCAGAACAGCTAAGCCCGTGTGCCAACGCTACTGAGTCTGCGTGCCACAATTACCGAAGCCCGCGCACCTAGAGCCCGTGCTCTGCAACAAGAGAAGCCACCACAATGAGAAGCCCATGCACCACAAGGAAGAGGAGCTCCCACTCGCCGCAACTAGAGAAAGCCTGCACGCAGCAATGAAGACCCAATGCAGCAAAAAAAAAATTGAATATCTTTATGATCTTGAGCAGGAAGGATTTCTTAAATCAAGACACAAAAAGCACTAGCTATGGATTGATTCTTTTCATAAACTAAAGTTAATGTGCATTCATCAAAGATATCACTAAAGTTTTCAAAAAGACATGCCACTTAATGAAAGTAGATACTTGTGACACGCATAACCAACAAAGAACCTATCTAAATATATGTAAAGAACTCCTACAATTCAGTAAGGAAGAGAAAAGCCAATTGTAAAATGGACAAATGA